ACATGAAGAAACTCAGAAGGGCAATCAGAAAATGGAGGAAGAGGGATGTGAGCAAGGGTGAAGCATTCTCCACAACAACGCATGTCCTCAGCGCCCGTCAAACTAGATCTGCAAAATTTTGTGGGCAAACGTATCACACACCCACCCTCAGTTCAGACTGGCACCAGCGATTTCACTGTGCCCTAAGTTGAAGGAACATTTGTCTGGACGGCGGTTTTGCTCCGATGATGAGGTGAAAGATGAGGTTCAACGCTTCCTGAAGGGCATTGTAAAACTGCCACAGCATCTACAAAAATGCATCAACCACAGTGGCGATTATGTTGAAAAAAAAAGCATTCTTCAATCTTTAAAGTGATGTAGCGATTATAGAAAATAAACTGTTCTTTGTACATCTAAAAATATAGGAGACTTTTTTTTGGGGATCGCCCTCGTATCACCTGATGTTAACTTCTGGAACCAGCACTTGGTGATGCATCTGTTCCTGGCATTGTCCCTAAATGCCTACATATTTGACAACTTGATATGGCTGCTGGCTGGTTCATATAAGGTAATTCAGCAGACAACATAAAAAAGCTGTTTGATACCTTCATTTCTCTTTGATAACAGATGAGCTGTGATTGCTGTATGTGTATAATGTGCCTGTTTTAGTACTAGTCAATGGTACACTAACTCTCCATCATTTTTCGGACAGAGTCATTTCATTTTTTCTTTGAAGGCTCTGACAAACAGGACATCAAAAATGGCAAGACCTTTTTGGGATACCTTGTATTATGTGCAGAATTTGTTTATAACTGTGTAAAAGTATGTTACATATATTGATCCATTCTTTCAGAACATGATCTTGCTTCTGACTATAGTGCCTTTTAAGCATGCGTTAGTTTAAGCTAGTATTTTTCGTTGCCTTATTATGTTGTATTTTGTTACATAATGGTCATTATAGCATCACAGTATTTAGCAGGGGTGTTTGTGCTCCGGGAAAACCCCGGAATTCTGGGGATTTTGAACTTCGAACGACGATCCCCGTTCAAAAAGAAGTAGGAATAATAATGAATTATTTATTTTGATCTGGGTAATTTTGTTTGCTTTGTCCAAGGTCAGTGTGTGTGGTGAAAACTTTTCCTTTCTTTCTCCAAAGGCAGTGATAATGCGTGAAAAGGGGGAAAAAACTTCTTTTTTGTTCTTTCCTTATTGCGAGTTATGACTCATTCCCCCGGTTCTCGGACATTCCTCTTCTGGATTCTTTTCGGCAAGTAGGCGCGGCAGAAAAAAAAAAAAAAAAAAAAAAAAAAAAAAAAAAAAAAAAAAAAAAGGGAGAGACTTCGTTCGACCAGTGTGCGATACGTGACTCTGGGTTCAAAGGTCTTATCTCTCCTGGCGTGGCAATAAGTAGAGAAGGGGGATTTTTCGCCGTATTAGCTATTGTCATTGATCGTTCTCAACTTTTTTTTTCCGCTGTGAAAAATTTTCGTTTCATTTATTGATGCGTGTAAATTTTTCGTTTCGTTTTTAAATTTTTTTATTTATGTACGCAAGAGAATTTCACTATGAAATTTCTCATATATCAATAGTGATTTATACAATTAGAAGAAGGTGTTCCGGAATGCATTTAGGTGGAATTGGATTGAACGGAGAGATGGTAATGGGGATACCATCGGCACATGGTGCAAAAATAAATTGCTGGACAAGCATATTGTTTTTTGTAACTCACTGCTGAAGTATGGTGGGGAAGGATTCAAGGCTTTCACAAATCATTCTAAAACTGTGACGCACATAAATATTCAAAGTGCATTAGACATTCAATGACTTTAAGTAATTATGCTAATTCAAAAAATACTGATGACTTACTGGAGACTGATGCTCGGCCATTGGATATAGTGACAAGAAAGCACACGCCAAGAGGTATTAATAACTTCGTTTATCGCCGAGAATTCCTCTTTCTTTCAATGTAGCTCCCAATTTAATTGAACTCTGCAAACAGTTGAGCCGCGATCAGACGGCACTAAACTCGTTGGAAATGTCCAGGACTGCTGCATGTTATAAGATGAAATATGGGCTCGCAAAAACTATTAAGGAAAATATCATTAAAACTTTAAAGGAGACTCCATTTTCTCTAAATTTGGATGAAAGTACTAGCAATGCTCAAGTATACTGGCAATATTGGTGCAGTTTTATGACAACAATCAAAATGAAGTTGTAGTTCATCATTTTGCATCTCTAAATATGGAATCTTGCAATTCAGAAGCTGTTTTTAAAGCATTGTTAATACTATTGAAGATAATAATATTCCATGGGCAAACTTAATTAGTGTATTAATGGACTCATGTAACACCATGCGTGGAAAAAAAAAAAGGGTGTTGAAACCAGACTACGATCAAACAAAGCACCCACTTATTAGATATTGATGGTGACACATGTCACACAGCTAATAACTGTGCAAAAAAATTTGCTTCATGTTTTGATAGATACTTAGAAGATTTGTTTGATGACATCTATTTTGATATGAAAAGCTGCAGTAAAAGAGAAAATTTTTTCAAAATCTGTGAATCCCTTGCCATTAAAAAACTTAAGCCCTTACCACACCATAGGTGGGTGTACATTTTATGTGTTTTAGAAAGAATCAAAGATCTGTGGATGCTCTTATTGCATTTTATTTTCACTACTTGGATAAAACTGATAAAGGGGATTATTTTTCTTATGTTGAAACTGTATACAATAAAAGAAATATTTCTGCAGCTCAAAAAAAAATTGTTGAAGGGTGTATTCTTGCTTGCATTCCCAACAACTCACAAGGATGCTTTAGCTCGGAAAAAAAGAATACTAAATGGGTTATTTGTTATGCAAAACAAAACTTTATTGCATATGGCATTATATTCAGCAGTATTACCAGAGTTCAACACATATATTAAATTATTTGAAAAAAAAAAAAAAAAAAAAACAATGCTTCATTTAATACATTCCAGTATTTATAAATTGATGGCAAAATTTTTCTCTTTTTTTTATGAAGCCAGAAAATATAGAGTGCACATCTTATAATGATTTATTAAAGGTTGATGTCACAAATCCAGAATTCCATCTACCTAGCAAAGTAATATTTACTGGTGCAGAAGCTTCCACTCTCCTGAAGAAATTATCAAAAAATCATCCAATAGCAAAGAATTCCAAATTTCTCTGATGATGAAAGCTTATACTAATACAGCACAGCATATGAAACAGAAATTACCCCTTAAAAATTCATATCTAATTAGTTTTACAGCATTAGATCCAGAGCTAAGAGGTAAAACCAGTACAATATTAGCTTTTGAAAAATTATCATCTTTTATGTCCCATATTTTTAGTGATAATGAAAAGTCAAAAGTAGAAGCTGAAATAAGGTTATACCAGAGTGATATTGATATCACCAAAGAAATGCTCTACACATCTGATGATGAAAGTGGAAATCAAGTCAAGTGTACAATTGATAAATATTGGTCTAAAGTTTTTTTTTTTAATTTAAAAGATGATTTCACAAATGATTATAAGTATCCTACATTGGCTAAATTGGTCAAAGCCTGCCTTAGCTGCTTCCATGGCCCATTAGTGGAAAGTGCATTCAACTTAATGGATACACTTGTCACTGACTATAGAACCTCTCTTAAGATTGATTCCCTAGATGCAGTGCAGACTATTAAATATGATTTAATGGCTTCTAAAGAAACCTCATGTGAAAAATATGGCTCAAAAAAATCCAATGACTGATCCAATTCACAAAGATCTCTTACTGAATATGAACAGAAGTTGGAAAACATATCAAGAGAACTTAAAAACATGTATTTCAGATGAGTCACCTATAAAAGTCTCTGAAAAACCTTCTACATTAGCAGAAAAGCAAACTGCTTCTACCTCTGCATGTGCATTCTCGAGGAAATTTCTTCAACTGTAAATGAGGAAAATAAAAGTCAACCTTCCTGCAATTATGAAGTTCACCACAAAAGAAAGACAAGCCCACAAACATCAGAAAATAAAAAAAAGCAGCAGAAATTAGATAATTTTTTTTTTAAAGAATTAATTCAGGTAATTTAAAATATTTACATAAAATGTAGTAGTTTATATGTTTGAAAATTTATGGTTATTAATTTTGCAAAAAAAGTCAAAAAAAGTAATTCATTGAACTTTTATAATTAGGTCATTAAATACTTCATAATTGTAATTTTTCATTTCTCTCCCCCCCCTTCTCGAAACTCCAAAATGTCGGTAGTAAGTCCGTAAAAGTTTCAGGGGATTTTTTGGGGTCCCACAAACACCCCTGATTTAGTAAAATGTTTCACATTTGCATGGCTGTTTTTCCCCAGCAGCTTGACTTTTTGCTATAGACAAAGGTGAATTTTTTTCTTTCTTATTAATATTACCCGCCAAGATATCTACTAGGTTTTTTGGAAATTTCCAATAATAACTTTACATCTCAAAAGCCGAAAATAAAAAAAATAAAAATTAAGCTAATAATAAATAAATAAAAGCAAACTTTTAATACTGTCTTTTGACTAAAAATTAATCTAAATTAAATAAAAGAAGAATTTAAAACTATATAGAAAGCTAAAATGTATCAAAAAAGTATACGAATATTTCACTTTTCTTAACCCTTTCAGCGTTATGGACAGAAAATTCCGCATAGAAGTCTGGCTTCCTTATTCATCACACATGAAAATTTCTGCCAGCTTTTAATGTATCCAATTTCGGTTTGGATGCATATTGGAAGAAAATGAATCAAAGTACAAAGTGAGAGAATAATTTTTAAATATAAATCAAGAAAATACCACTTATTCTTGACATTCTGAGGAACTTTGAAATTTCAGGGCTAAACCTGTAGCGATCGGAGGTTAAGTATGTACAGTTGCCAATTTGTGTAACTAAATTTGTTGAATAAAATTTAAATTCAACTCAAAGATAATTTAAGTTTTAAAACTTCTGATATCAGAAATTATTGTGCATATTTGTGAAGGTAATTTTTTCAATTTCTTTGAAAGGTGGTTTAGTGCTTATTGCTGGAACTGGATCTAATTCTTTATTAGTCAATCCAGATGGTACAACCGGTCGATGTGGAGGCTGGGGTCACTTACTTGGTGATGAAGCTTCTGGTAAGTATGCTACAAACATAACATATATTGCCTCTTGAAAAGCCTTTTGAACAAGAGATAATAATGCCTATAGCATTTGTTGAATACAGTTATCTATAAGTATTGTAACTGTTGAAATATGGCAAATTTTACTCATTTTTAACATTTGTTAAGCAACACATTAACCCTGTAGCATAAAATGATGTTTTGTATTTCTCATTTATTTATTATTAACCCTCTGATCATGGGTACCTAAGACATAAAAACAGAGAATTCAAATGATATCTTAAGTTGAAGGAAGAAAAGCAACTGCCAAATTAATGTACCACAAAATTTAAATATCAATGCCATAAGAACATTTCTCACACATATTCAGGATGAATATTAACCTAGTGTTAACAAATCTCATGGTCAGAAGATCAATGTTAAAATAGATTTTGCCATGTTATAATTATTGCAAAATTGCAGTCACTTCCAAATATGTTTATACTGTAAAGTATGCATTTATATACTTAAATATATTATACATAGGCCTTTAATTCAACTAAGCAAAGCTTTATTTCTGCAATATGGTTGTAAATACTGATAATTTATCATCAGAAAATGAAGATTTTTATTCATGTGAAAACACTAATTTGATACTAATAGTAGTTGATAGTAATAATTTTAATAAAATTTTGATAGCAGCAGATTAGTATAATAGTTAATTCATTTTTGAAGCATATTAATTTTCAATTTTGCGTTACATCAAGTTGTTAATACTTGAACAGAATCAAAAGACATAATAGCATTATATTCCAAGTTGTCAAATAAATTTATTTCACTCTGTTTCATGTAAAAACCTGGTATATTCTCTTTTTTTGCAAAAATTAAATACTATGGTAACTCCATTTAAATATCAAATACTGAAACATTAATTTGTGAAGCTACTGAAGGATATAGTCTTTTGTCTATTTAAGTGACTGTGTATTTCAAATCAGTCTATCTAACGTACTTTGAAAACTTCTTTCATTTAAATAATAAGTGCAGTAAAGTAAAATTTCTAGTTTTCATTTTTGTTATTATGGATATTTATTTGTTGAATTTATGAAATAACATTTTGATTTTACAGTTCATGATGTTGATGTATTGCATTTTCTATAGATTTTAATTAAAAAACTGGCAATACAACTCAAGTCTTCTGAAGCTGGAAGTTTTCAAATTTTCAGTTAAATAGATAACAATATTATTTAATTAACATTGCAGTTACTTTAATTGTTCTTATTTTAAGTTGTGCTGTTGTCTTTTTTGCACTTTTGTTCCATACTTAAGTTCGGTCTTTTAGATTGGCTGTTAATTCAAGCCTGAAATCATATAAATTGGAAGAGAAACATTTATTTATGACAAATTTTGAGGTTTAGCAAGAAACTCATGTTTTAAAGAATAGCCAACAGCAGTCAAAACAAACAGAGCCTTAAAAAAATTACAAAATCTCTAGTTATGATTTGTGCTACCAAACAGTTCAGTGTGATGTAAGTGCAGTCTTGTTACCTCCAAGTAATTTTTGTTGTGTGTGTATTGTACCAATAGGTTTCAGCTTTAAATTTTTGAACAGTTCTTGATAATACAGTCAAAAGTCTTTAATCTGGACTCGTCGGGACTTCAGCGATTCTGGATTATCGGTTTTTTTCGGATTATAGATCATAAGTTTAAATCTGGTAAGATGGCATGCAGAAATTATAAAATTAAAAATATGAAACCATAATTTATGAAATAAAGAGCAATTATGATCTAAAGGGTATCAAAATTTACAAAAAAAAAAAAAAAAAAAAAAAAAGCGTAATATTTATTTCTTTACTTTATTAAACATTTCTTTCAACGCATGCATTCATAAAGCATACATTACGCATAGTCGAAATTAGAAAATTGCAAGCAGAAAACTATTTGATGTGTATTCGTGATATTTATAATGATGAGGAATTTGATTTAAATCATATCAAAGACGGAGTATATCGAGATGAAATACTACATTTAGTAAAGAATTACAAGCCGAATAAAATAAAAACATCTGCCCTGAAGATAAGGATAGTGCTGACAGATCAACTTCCAGTTCATTGTGCGCCGCGATGCCCCCCCCCCTCGCAGAGCAGCAGCGTAAAATTGATTAACAGATTTCGGAATGGTTAGAGAAACAAAGGATATGTCTTTATCCATTTTTTGCAGTGATTCCACTTTTTGTTTGATGGACATCAAAACATTTTTTCGCTTTATAGATCCTTTGGCAGCTCCAGAATCGGAATTTCTTTTTGACATAATCGAAAGTTCAAGCTTACTTTTATAAAATTGCTCTAACAGTCTACAAAATATAATAAGCCAGATCCAATTCGAAGATTAAGGGACAACACAATCTGCAACATTAACTGAAATAGATAATTAGATAATTTTAGCTTAGCTTATACCACCCGTTATACATTAATCGTGCATGCGTAAATGTATTATGATGCCTTTGCTCATGCGCAGAAAGTTTGTAGCTTTGAGGTCTGGATTATAGATCATTCCGGTTTATGGACGTCCGGATCTTTTGACTGTATAACTTTATGATCCAGAATCACACAATACTGTAGTAATACTATGTAAAATTTTATTAACTGGATTAACAACTAAAGTTTATAAATAAGTAGTCTGTTTCTGGAAATTCAGTAACATGTTGCAGGTGTTTTCTTTCAAAACATTTTCTTTATTTACTATCTGGCAAATAATGCATAATCATGTAAGGTTTTCCTCTGCATACTGCACATACATACTTCTCTTCATACTGCAAATTTCATAAAACCTTTTCATTTGGAAATAAAATGATTTTATTTCAGACAGCAAAAACACATGCCCTTTTTCTGGACAAATAGCTACCTTTCTTTTAGAGAAGAATTAACAATAGTTGTGAAGTCCTGAGAAGAATGTGTTAATTTGTTACAAAAAAAAAGTGCACTATTTTTCTATTGTCATTACTATTGTGGGCAAAATTTAATGCTGCAGCACTCAGTCAAGTATTCAACACTTTTTTTTTTACATGCAACCTTACAAATTTGATTTATTTTCTTCGTCTTTAAAAAGAATTTTCCAATTCTGCAAGATCATTCTACAGTCTTTCTGTTAGTAAAACACTAGGGTTATCTAAATCTTCAAACATCCTCGTCTCTTGTTAATTCTTCAGATTGTAGCTTTTTTGTGGCCGTATAAGGTGTTGAAAGAAGGGTTTCCAGTTCTGCAACATCATTCCACAGTCTTTCTGTTAGTGAAATATTAGGGTTATTTTACATCTTCTGAAAAGTTCTTAATCCTAACAACCACTGTATCATCAAATATGTACTTCTCCATTGCTTTTCTCCTTTTCCTTCTCACTTCCTAAGAATGGCATCTATTTTGGGAGTTCTTGCTGCTTACTTAAATTCACCAATGAGATTAGTAACTAAATGAATCAGTTTAATCAATAATGGCAAATATCATGTCCTGCTCCCTTATATTTATTTACTAATATGCCAATAAAATAGAAAATAACTATTTATTAATGTATGTATTCCATAAATATAAATATTAGCTCAGTTTGTCATTAATTTTTTTTCAATTCACTTTAATTTCATTTCAAATTCAAACTGTTCTACAAAAACTGGAGTTGGAGTCGACGTGCTTTTTAGCGACTTCAACTCCAACTCCTTTTACCCAAAAATCTACCCGACTCCACATCCCTAATATAGACTACTAAAATGTGTAGATGTGCACCTCCTATTTTGGTTGCAATCGACCATACCAAAAGTATATAAATATATACTGTTACTCGGCTCATACTGTTACTCGGCTCAGTGAGCACAGTTTATTCATATATATGTTTGTAAATTGTGCATTTTTTGATTAAAAAGTTATTGAATTATGTTGTTCTTATCTTCCAGTTAAGGTTTTTATGTCTTTAGTTAACCTGCATGTTAGAGTTGTCGAATTATCAACAATTTAAAAGTTGTTTAAGTGCGACTAAGGCTAATTTTTTTACCATAGCAACCATATTTGTTTGCATTTGAAACTTAGAATAGTGGATTTGTTGCCAATCTAGAGAAACTAAACTTCACAACAACAAAGTAACGTTTTCTTTTATTATTGTGAATTAAATTATGCTTAATCCATTCTGGAGTTATCATTTAAGTTATTAAATTATCTCATATATTGACTCAGCATAGCGTCTAGAACAAATTAAGTCAGTTTCTACACCTTCAGTGTCTTTTTCCGAGTGAGACCAAAAGTAAAATTTCAGTTTTGTGCACTGAAAAATCTGCCTTCTTGCCCACTGGCCGAATTGCATGTTTTTGCATAGAAACTGAAATTTTAATTGTAAAAAAATTTTTTTTAAATTATTTTGTTTTTATGTTTTTCTATATCTTTCAATTTTAAATATAGATATTTTGAGTTTTTATGTATTTATACCCTGTCGCGAAGTGAAATCAGAATTAATCGAATGAGAAATATGTCTCTAATAAAATTCAAGGAAGTAAAGTTAAATGAAAGGCAGGAAAAAATGTGTATAATTTAATATTCCATACAAGGAAGTCATGTGTTGTACACATCAGATTTTTTTAAATGAGTCTTTATGCATTGCTATCACATAATCACAGTTATGTTGCTGTTTCTTTTGTAGATTTCAATTCAGATTAGTTTAAAAACTTATCTCTGAAACTCAATCATTACTTAAAATTATTTTTTACATTGCTTGATGTTTTAAAATATCATCTATCATTTGTTTAGTTTTCATGTAACTCAACTCTAATTTTAAAGGATTCAGAGATACCTAAGATATAAAAATAAAGTTTAGATATGAAGGATATTTTGCTTAGGAACAAGCAGGGCAAAAATACAGAAAGTAGAGATGCAAAAGCGTAATCCGAAGTGAATTCAATGATCAAAATGATCAAACTACTATACACTGATTTCATTCTTGTGTAAATCCTAATTATGAAAGTATGATTCAGTCTTCTGAAAATCAACCCACCATAAATTGTCTTTTGCTACTATTGAGGAAATTCTTGATTGAGAATTAATATGCAAAATATATTTTGCAAACACATTTGATTCTATTACAAGGTTGCTTTCTTTTATTATTTAACACCCAATTTCTATTTCCTACCTTAATTTATGAAGTGCTTCTACAATATGTGAAAAGTATTAGTTCTTTTGAAAAGTAGTTACTTTTATTGCAAGGCGTGGATTTGTCTCATGTTTTTGGAAGAGCATATTTGCTCAGTGCTTTTATATTGCCCCCCCCCTCAAAAAATTCAAGAAGTCTGTTAACTGTTCATAAATAAAATAAAATGACATTTAATCTCTGGTTCTTTAAATCTTCTTGTACCTGATTTTGGTTTGTTAATTGTATGACTGTGTATTACTGATTTTTTTAAATTAGCATTATAAAATTAAGACTGTATTGGATTTTCCAGGAATGGTTTAATATGATATTTATTCTTTTTTTCTTATTTAGGTATTAGTTAGGCCTAGCCATCACTTTTTTTAAATAATATAACTAACTTATATTTGCATTTTACAGCAATGTGGATTTCCTTAAAAGCAGTGAAAACGGTGTTTGATTCAGAAGACAATTTGGTTCTCTGTCCCTATGATGTATCAAAAGTCAAGGAGCTTATGCTTCAGCATTTCAAAGCAAGTTAATTTAATCAGTTTAGTAACTTAAATTGATATTAGGATTCAGTTGTGATTTAAAATAGTTTAAATTTTTGGTCATGTGTTATCAATAATAATAATAAAACATTTTAGTACAAACATTTTGGAAGCAGTCAAAGTTGACGTATGTCATTAATTGCAGAAATTTTATAGATGCCATTTAATCTCTGGTGTTTTAAATCTTCGATAGCATTTAATTCAAATCATAGGCCATTAAATTTTCCCAATTAAAATTTTAATATGTAGTCATATTAATATAGTTTTCATCTATATTATGTTTTCAAATTTCAACTTTTTCCTATGTGTCAATATATTTTTTCATGTTTTTGTTTATTTTGGGTGGGAGGAATGAGTCAAAATACATTTGTGTGCTTTTAAATGTGGAATGAAGTTAAGATCCTGCTTTTCCCCCACCCTGTTGACAAAGAACTATTTTCTAAATTAAAGCTAAACTTAAGTTTCTATTTTATTATTTGCTATAAGTTTTATGTTATTATGCTGATCTGTAGTTGCATGTTCTGTAAAATCATATAAACTTTTTTAACGATTTTTTGCATCTTTTTAGTACAAGGTAACTAAACCTTGTACTGAGTAATTAAATCTTAATTATATTAAATAGAAATTGGACTTATAATTAATACTGCATCAATTTTTAAGGCTTACAGTTCTTTGTGAGATAATTTAAATGGCCACACCAGGAGGATAATTATTAAATCTCAAAATATAACCCCATAGTCATTATCATTTTATTTTTAGCTTTCATTTTAGTTAACTAGGAATACTCGTGTCTTATGTCAAGATTATGTTAACTAGAAATCCTGGTGTCTCATGTAAGCCATATATCAAGGGCTAAGTGAGGCATTTACCTGAGGGGAAAAAATATTGAGTGTGGGGAGCAAAATTAAAATGTAGTACAGTACAAAGTCCGAAATCCAAAGTCGTCGGAACTTCGGCAAGTTGTCCACAAAAAATTCAAAGAGTTCCTTTTTCTTTTTCATGTCATATACAGTTGGCTTTCTAATGCCATACTCCTCCCATAATTTTGAGACAGATATGCCTTTATCCATTTTCTGCAGCAATTCCACTTTTTGTTTAATGGACCATCGAAACGTGGTTTCGCTTTGTAGATCCTTAGGCAGCTTCAGAATTGGAAACTCTTTATGACATAATCGGAAGTTCAAGCTTAATTTTTATAAAATTGCTGTAATAAATAACAGTCTACAAAAAATAATAAGCTGGATCAAATTAGAAGATTAGGGAGCAGCGCAGTGTGATACATTAACTGAAATGCTTTAGAATTAGTAAAGATAATTTTAGCGTAGCTTAATAGCATCCGTTATAAATTAATGGCTGTGTATCACAAGATTGGCGACGAAAGCGAAGTTGTTTCGCTAAATTTTTTGTCTTGCTACTACTGCATACTGAATTAAGCCTGAATTTAAATGACCACACCATTACATTAGTTTAGTTATTTATACATTAGTTTAGTTATTTATACATTAGTTTAGTTATTTAATATACCTACGTTTATTTCTTGCATATGCTTAAAACTAATCTGAGTCCTGAATAAAAAAACTCCCACATATACTTAAGGCTTTATCTAGGGCCGGGGCTAGATATCACCTGGTGCAGTCTCTGCGGGTCCTCTGCCGTCTGGTGCTGACATATTCTGCTGCCGCTTCTGGGTTTATGGTGAATAACATATCAGCTATTCTTAATTAAAATAACACTAAATGTAATCTTTTGGCCTATGAATTTCATTAACAAAATCTATTTTTAGCATATGAAAAGAAATTTTTGTTGAATTTTTCTTCATAAACATTTATAAGAGTATTTAAAAATCTGTAATCATCACCAAGCATAATGTTAGCATAAAAGTTTGCCATATTCTTGTTATTCAATTACTAATATTAAAAAAAGTTTAGACATCACTGCATGAGTTATTACTGAAGCTGTCATGTATTGATAAACATACAGTGATGAAAGCAAAATACGAGAATAATAAATAATGACTCGCCAGGTTGGCGTCAGGGATATGAAATAGGTGAATGTTTGGTTTGAGATGTATGCCAAGCAGATACTTAACTAGGAGCCAAATTATTAATCTCACAAATTTATCCTTACATGATTGTTTTTCTATAACGAGGTATTTTATTTAGTTCCTAAGTGAAATTAAGAATCGGAATTTTTAAGTGAAAATCTCCACACGCTTTATTATTATGGAAGGAAAAATCAAATGCGCATGCGTAAAGCATACAAAAAAAATTGTTTATGGCTTTGAGGTCCAGATTTTAGATCATTCCCGATAATGGATGTCTGGATTTCGGACTTAGTACTGTAAATGATATATTGATGTGCAAGTCATAAAAGGTGTTTAGAGAATGCAATTTTGAGATTTTTCCTAATGTATTAAAATCTGACAGCATGGTTCTATATATGCATTATTTGTCATTTTTATAGCATATTATAGATTGTTAGTCAGTTGCATGATCTGTGTATTGATATTTTATATAATAAAGAAAATTTATTATAGTTAAATGCTGATTGAAAAGTTGTGAAATTGAGCCTCTTATTCAGAATCAAATAATTCTGCAGGCATCCCTTTTAAAAAAATTCAAGTAACATTGAATTATATTTTTTAGTGTTTTCATAAATGGTTCAAAGATATGAATTAGATTATTTTGTTGCTTTAGCACTATAGGCTCCCCCCTTATCTGAAAAGGAACTGCTTTCCATGTTGTCTTTCTAATGTTGGAAATACTCAGAATTTGCTCATGTCACTAAATATAGGTTATATAATATATATGTCACTAAATATAGGTTGATTTGGGCTGTTATGAAAGCAAAATATAATGTCACAGTAGTAACATTCAGCTGGTCATTATCCTGAAACAAAGTGATTGTTTCTTGACCGAATCCAATCTTTTTTCCTTAATGGTTTCATATAAATGGTCATCTGTGTATTTACATAATAGTCACTGTTTGCTCTCTGCTCATGCATGTACATTGCTAACATCAATAACATGGTGGATAATTTGCTGAAATATACTTGTCCATCATTCATGTGTTACCAAGTAGAAGTGCCTTTGGTACTAAACATGTTGAAAAGTTTCAGCACCATTTATAATGCGGCATCTGGAAAATTCTATCCGTTTGGGAAGTGAAAGGAAATAATACATTTTTTATAATATTTATTGTACAGTATAATTTATATTGTTGCTTATGGCCGATTGTCAGTGTGATGGTAATTTGTAACATTTCTGAAAAATCTCTTGCCCTTAGAGGTGAAGAATTCAAGCAGTTCTTGGTTGATATCTGCTTCAGTATTGAATTTTTCTCCCTTAAAAAAATTTGCAAGAAGAAACAAGTGATAATCAGAGGGATCTAAGTCTGCAGAGTATGGCAGATGTGGCAAAATTTCTCAGCCAAGGTCTACAATTTTCTGACGAGATGCAAAAGCAGTACGTGGTCTAGTATTATCATGATGCAGCATGATGTGTTTTCTGTTAAACATCCTTGGCCCCTTTTCTTTGATTACTTTATTTAAAACACCTATTTCTGAATTGAGTTTTTTGTTGGATTTCAAAATTACATAATGTTATATTGGTCCTTGGATGTCCCATCCTATACACAGCATTCTCTTATTCAATGTCGAATATCTGAAAATTTGAGGGTTTTAATACTTTTTTAAACCTTTAACCTTGACTCAACTTATGGTGCCGGACAAATTAACTACAAAAATAATTTAATCAAAACAAATCTAATTCATAATATATCAAAAGATCAATCGAATAAACAATCGTATATCATATCTATCAATCATATAGTGGTATTGGTTTAGTACAATAGGGTGCATTGTGAAACCCACTAGGGAAAAATCAATAACTTCAAATTTAATTAAAGCTCCATGTTTCTTATAAAGCCTCCAGACTCAAAAAAATGGAGGGACGTGACAGACCAGCGTAAATTACACACAAGATAGATACACAAATGCAATTAAATTTTAAACACACATTTATTAAATTCTTAAATATATTGTATTATTAGTAAATACTTGGGTAACTGATAGTATCCTACCACATATTTTACTATGAAAATATCGCATCGTCACACAAAATTTCAGCTACAATAATTAAAACATTTAATTAAAAATAAATTTTTTTTTTCAGAAATTAAGAAGGTGTAACATATTTTAATTCTCCAAATAAATGGTTCTCGTTAATTAGAAACTAACATTTTCTGACTCACCCACTCAGTAGGTGAAACAAATTTAAAACATTCCAAAACTGGCCATCACTTGAAATAACAATCACTTCTCAATTTTACTAACTGTAAAACAGTCAAAAGTCTTTAATCTGGACGTCCACAATCCAGAAAGATCTATAATCCGGACCTCAAAGCTACAAACTTTTTGCGCATGCGTAAACGCACAATACCTTCACGCATGCGCATATGTGTCTATGCATGCACATAATACGTTTACGCATGTGCGTTTAATGTATAACGGACGGTATAAGCTAAGCTAAAATTATCTAATTATCTATTTCAGTTAATGTTGCAGACTGCGTTGTTCCTAATCTTCTAATTGGATCGGCTTTTTTTTGCAGACTGTTAGAGCAATTTTATAAAGTAAGCTTGAACTTTCGATTATGTCAAAAAGAATTTCCGATTCTGGAGCTACCAAAGGATCTACAAAGCGAAATCATGTTTCAATGTCCATCAAACAAAAAGTGGAATTGCTGCAAAAAATGGATAAAGGCATATCCTTTGATTCTGTAATCATTTGAAAATATGTTTATCAATTTCACGCTGCTCTGCAAGGGGGGGGGACATCGCGGCGCGCAATGAACTGGAAGTTGATTTGTCAACACTATCCTTATCTTCAGGGCAGATGTTTTTATTTTATTCAGATTATAATTCCTTACTAAATATAGTATTTCATCTCGATGTACTCTGTCTTTGATATGATTTAAATCAAATTCCTCGTCATTATAAATATCACGAATACACATCAAATAGTTTTCTGGTTGTAATTTTCTAATTTCGTCTATGCGTAATGTATGTTTTACGCATGCGCGCGTTGAAAGAAATGTTTAATAAAGTAAACAAATAAATATAAAGCTTTTTTTTTTTTTTTTTTTTTTTGTAAATTGTGATACCCTTTAGATCATAATTGCTCTTTATTTTATAAATTACGGTTTTATATTTTCAATTTTATAATTTCTGCATGCCATCTTACCACATTTAAACTGATGATCTATAATCCGGAATCGGCAAAGTCTCGACGAGTCCGGATTAAAGACTTTTGACTGTATTTAATTTATATAAGTAATAACAATATAAACAGAATTGGATTATTTAATTACGGCAAAGCACACAAGGGCTATCTGCCTAAAGGGAGGGGATGCCTTCGTGGAGGACTTTCTAAGGGAAACTGGCTCGTATACACGTTACACATGGGAAAAACCACGAAAACGCCCATGCAGCGAGCCCGTTCACGGGATTCGAACCTCGGACCGAACTACCAGTGTTCAGTGTCTTTACCACTCGGCCACTGGTGGGCACAATATAAACAGGTAGATAAATCATTATTAACTGTTCCACTATGGCATTTGGGAATACTAAGAGAGAGAGAAAATAATCTTAAAAATCTCACTCACATATTCTTCAGAATACATAACCTTGGTGGAAGTGTCCAGTTTTCCTAGTTACGGAGGAAGTCTATTTCTTTGAGCCAACACTTTGATTACAGTTTAACTAACACTCTCGCTCTGAAGTCCATTTAGTATCCGGCACCTGAGATTCTGTTTGAAACTTCCAAGTGTCAGACATATTCACTTTGGCAATGTCAAATTTTCGGTTTTGAAAGGATTATCTGGAGATTCGGGTTAAGAGGGAAAATCTGTAGTAAAATTGTTCTTTACATCTCGCAGAAAAAATGTCTCTTCTGGAGAAAAGAAAGCACAGCTCAAACCCTGTTGCTCAAGCAGCCCGCTGCACGGCAAGCCGGCCGCAGGTGAACGCCGCTTGAACTTCACATCGCTGCTGCTCAAAATCATTCTAGATCAGACTGCAAAGAAAAACCATAACCGGAGCCCACTGTTACATGCCGCTCACGAGAGCAAGACCCGCAAGGGTCAAGCCCCCACTTTTTTTTTTTCCTTCTTCAAATATCAGAATCCGAATAAATTCTAGCCTGGTGCAAACCTCCCAGGAAATCTCGGTTTCTCCGCCTCTGTAAGTTCATAGGCCCACAAAAAATCATCAAATTAAATCTTACCAATCTTACCAATCCCGGAATTTTACTTTATCTAGACTGAGAAAAAAATTCCAGCCTTACGACGAATCAAACACCAGAAAAATCTGACAATGCAATCCAAAAAACATCTGTACACACAATGTGGGAAATAAAGTGGACCCCCCCAACTAACAAACAGAAACTAAGCTTTATGAAAATCCAATTACTTAAGCTTAGTATACCCCCCACTGTCTTGAAGTAAGCAAAATTGCAACTATAACAAAGCGAAAGCAAGAAGATTTTCGTTTCAAACGCCATTAGTAAAAGGCGACAACACAACACCCTATTGCCTCCATTGTTAGTAAAAAGGCCATAAACCAATAAACCAGATATGTTTTCTCACAACCCTCTTTTGCCTTTACTACACTTTCTACTTATGAATAACGGGTTAAATAAAACCTTTACAACTTAAGAATACTTTTTTCCAGATTAAAATATACATGAATACAAATAAAAATATTAGAATAATAATAACTTAAAACACATATTAATAATTAAAATTCGCGACATAACATCCGTCTCAAGCTTGGATTAGAGGTGGAAGTGACAAGTTGTCCAAACTCACAGTGTACTCTTTTCCTAATGATATTTTTATAGGTAATCCACTTTTCATTGCCAATTGTCATCTAGTACAAGAGGGGTTCATTTTCATTTCAGGCAAGCAGAAATGTGCATATGATGACTCTATCATGCAAATTTTTCTTGTTTAACTCATTTGGACTATTAGAAACCAATCCTAATTTAGGAATATGTATCAAAATGGTATGCTGAGCTGAATTAAGCTTTTCTGCATTCTCCGATTTTTGTGAAAAAAAAAAAAATATTTTGCTGTATCATGGTCTTGAAAATATCATCATAGATTAAAGATGGTTGTCCAGAGCTTAGCTTATCATTAAGGTCAAAATCATCTGCTTCAGAATTTTCGAAGCTTCTCCATGACATTCTTTTGTCATGGAGTCTCTAAAATAGACTATAAATGTTATAATTTACACTCTTTGTAATTTATACTCAGAAATTAACATAAGTGCATATATATTATGTAATAATTATGTAGTTTGATTTGACCTAACTTTAAATTTGAAAGTGACAGTAATTTTAATTTATAGCCCATAATTATTTTATGATGTTAAGAAATGGCTTATCAGCAGCTTTCGATTAGATAAAACCATTGAACTTTGATACTTGTATTTGGAGCTGCCTGTCTAGAACTAAATTCTAGATAAGTTGATTGCAGAAAAATTTTTGTAACTTTTTCCTTAAGTAGTATAAATATATGAATATAGTATAAATATGAATAAGAAAATATATAATTAGCCATTACGTTTTTGCTATAAACTTATATGCACTGCACTCAAGATTAAGTTTAAAACTTATAATTGTCTTCAGGTGAAATATATTTTAATACTTTTATCAGTATACATTTGAGATGATTTTTTATATGGAAAATGAAGCATTGCATTTAAATATGGTACACCTTCTTCCTTTGTGCTGTCATAAAAATTTTAAACTCGTGCAAATCTAATTTTTAGAACATGGCTTTTCATGTAATTTAGAATATGGCTTTTGATGTTTAATTCTTCATATTGATTTTCATGTAATATCTTATATCCTCCTATGTAGGTTAATGACAAGTTTGGAATACTGGAGCACTGTTATGCCAACTTCAATAAAACCAGCTTTGCGGGTCTTTGTGCAAAACTGGCTGAAGGTAAAATAAGGAATTTTGTCATTTGTCCTGGAACTATTACGAATTTTCTTACTCTAAGTTATCTTATTAATCAATCTATATTTATCTTATTAATTTATCTATTATCTCTAATCTTTTATGACAATTTTATGTAATGTAAAACCTGTTCTAGGAATTTTATGTAATGTAAAACGTGTTCTAGGAATTTTATATACTTGATTTTGTTTAGCAGTAATTACCTAAGATGACTCATAACTTAAGATTACAGTCTTAAGTTTTCTAAAAATTTTCTACGTCAAATTTTTGAATTCCTTATATATATTTGATAGTTCATTACTTGTAGGAACATGTTTATAATTTATATTGTTTTTAAGTGAAAAAGATTCTGTTTAATGAAAAGATTTCTACCTCAAAGTTTAAATGTAGTGTTGATAGGATGGGTTTAAAAAATTGTTTTCCAAATTATGAAAGTAGAATTTTTTATCAATCAAACTATGTTTGCAGTTTTATGTTTTGTAACTTTATCTTTTTTTTTTTTTTTTTTTTTTTTTTTTTTTAAAGGCCAGAAGGACTGGCATTTTGCATCAAAAACTTTAAATGTTCGTTTCACTTTTCAAATTGTTCCCACCAAACATTATCACCGTGTGTTATATTTAAAGAAATTAAATAATGAAGAATCTGCATCAATGTATGTATGTTTCTCGGATTGTGATAAAACAATGGTACCTAGAGCTATCAAATTATGAATGATGTACATTTCCACCCAAATATGGGCATCTAGAAGCCCTAATTTGGAATTTGTTTCATATTTTGTAACATTTTAACGATTTTTTTATTAACAATTTCAAAGATTTCAAAGTGAGCAATGGCAAAACCATACGAGTTTAAAAAAAAAATCTCCACATGAGACTGTGTATCGGAAATTCTAAAGATATGCTCATTTTAAAATTATTTTGCGATATTGCTGTTGAACAGAATTCAGAATTTTATAGTTTAAGTGCAAAAAACATGATATTTAATAAATAAAGGTAACACACAAAATATTTACAAAATGCCCCTCTGAGGATAATGTAAAATCTCAAAGCTTTCAGATTTTTGTTTAATAATGGTTTTTTTTAACAAATAGAAAAGAAATTAACTTTATAAACATATGACTTTTTTTCCTTATAAGACAGACTTTTTTTCCTAAATGTGGTCTCAAAAAAAGTTACCTGCGTCTTATACGTGAAGGACACAGGTTAACTTTCAATACTAAATGCTATTTTTAGCCCGAATAAAGGTTTAGACACACAGAACCTTTTCTACATCTGCCATAATTATTTCGCGTACGCGTGAAATATCTGTCGCCAAAAAGCGGCAAAGCTTGAAGCTGATGTCGAAGTTCGAACAGGTTTGATGGTCACATTACGTCTATGGAGCCTTTCCTTATTTACATAGACTTTCTTTGACTCAGCCGACACACGTGTTGGTATCGGTACTACTCTGTATAAACGTGTCATTATCGGTACTTAAAACAATTTGTTTAAAAAAAATAGCCTGGAAAATATGACTACAGGAAACAAGAGATTAAGCTATACAATTCAGTATAAACTAGGAGTGTTAAACTACGTGAAAGTGCAAGGAAACAGAGCAGCAGCAAGGTATTTTGGTCTACCACCTACCAAAAAATTATATGTACTTGGCGACTGCAGGAAGATCAACTGAAGACTGCTAAAAAACAAAAACACAACCTTCGATGCCCAGCTCCATCTTGGCCTGAACTTGAAAATGCTGTAAAAATGTTGGGTGATAGATAGAGGAAATCTGGGATAAGTGTTTCAACTAAAATGATAATCAATGAGGCCAAAGGATTTGCAAAAAACAGGGAATCGGAAATTTCAGGTCTGAGGGCTGGTGCTCAGTTCATGAAAAAAAAATGCTTATCAATGTGCACAAACAACTATTGCACAAAAATGCCAGCAGATTATGAAGAAAAATACTAGCATTTCGTAGGTTGTTATAAATGCATGCAAGAAAACTTCTTTTGAGCTCGGTCAAATAGGAAATATAGAGAAATTCCATCACATTTGATGACCATCCAACAAGACGAGTATTAAAGGGTCTAAATCAATAACCATAAAAAGCACAGGTCATGAAAAAACCCGATATATGTAGTTCTAACTGTTGTGCTGATGGCACAAAACTACCGCCCTTTTTCATATTCAAAGAAAAACTCATCCAAAAGAAAAACTTCCAACGGATGTAATTGTTCATGTTCATCCGAAAGGCTGGAATGAAACTGTGGTTACAGACCGTATGGGCAAGAGCGACCTGGAGGACTCTTAAGAAAACTCTCTCTTTTGGTTTTGGATCAGTTTAGTGCCCATAGAACTGAAACCATAAAGAATAAAGCAAGAAAATTAAAAACCCAGATAGCTGTCATTCCTGGTGGACTGACGAGCCAATGCAGCCTTTAGATGTATCGGTGAATAAGCCATTTAAGGAAAAAGTGCGAGAACAATGGAACAAGTGGATAGGAGAGCCACATCCATGCCCTCACACCCTCGGGTAGAATGAAGCAGCCCTCTATTTCACAAGTGTGCGAAAAGATCTTGGGAGGACGTAAAGGCTGAAGTAATTGTTAAGTCCTTTAAGAAGTGCGGAATCAGTAATGCTCTTGACGGAACGGAAGACGATGCATTATTTGAAGAAGGTGATACTAACGATGACAGAAACAGTAGTGATGACGATATTCTCGTTTTCGATGATGATGATAGCGAAAAGGATTTTTATGGTTTTCAAAGTGATTAAAGTCTAATATCATGATAGGCAACATTTTCCTTGAACCTGTTTTTTTTTTTTTTTTGTTTGTTTTTGTTTCTGCTTTATTTTGTATTATGTTTGATTGCTTACCATTTATTCATTATTGAAATTTACATACCATGTTTAAAATAGCTTGCCGTTTGTTAATTTTCCTTAATAAAAATATGTTTGGTAATTGCATTCAATGATTGTTTATTTGGCTTTTACGAAACGTGAGAACTAAAATAAACCACATTTTAAGTTATTGTGGTATCGCGCGGAATATTGAAACTTTTTCCCTTGTGTTTGGCCTTCTAAATAAGGGGCGTTGTATATGCCATCAAATACGGTAATGACTCATACAGCCATGACCAAACTTTTTTTATATTAGTAATTTAATAACAGAGTGTGGTAACCTTTCATGTTGACATTACGCTTGGCAATGATTACACATTTAAGTTAAATGTGCTAAGAAATGCTGACGAGAAAATATTCAACAAAAATCTCTTTCCATTTGCTAAAAATAGATTTTGTTAATGATAATCATATGTCAAAAAATTACATTTAGTGCTATTTGAATTAAGAATAACTGATTTGTTTTTCATATAAAATCAGAACTGGTGCCAGAGCTCGTATGGGTGCAGAATTTAGGGATGACAAAATATTTGGAATTTAGAGAAGCACTGAGCAACAAAATTAAGGGATGAAATTTTTTTTAGAATTCAGGGAAAGCACTGGGATCTAAAATTTAGGGGCGGCAAAAATTTAGAACTTAGGGAAGTGCTTGGTAGTAGAATTTAGTACCCGCAGAGACTGCCTCAGGCAGTATGATATCTAGAAGGCCCTTGATAATCCTTAAGTATATATGGGAATTTATTTAATGAAGAATCGGATAAGCCTTAAGCATGAGCAAAAATAGGTATAAATATAATAATAAATAAACTAATACAATTCAGACTGAATTGTCTCTGTGCTCAGGCAATACAAAATTTAGCGGAACAGTTTGTTTTTCATCGGCAATCTCATGAAACATAGCCAATAATGTATTGCAGACACTTTACTGATTCCCAAGGAATTTCAGTCAGTATAGCAGTATTTGCTGTTCCTTAACTTTCTAATTTGATTCATCTCAAAATTATGCAACAAGTATGGCATTGGAAAGTCAACTGTATAAACAGAAAAGAGAACAGAAAGAAAACAGAAAAAGGAACTTTCTGAATTTTTTGTGGATTTCACACCCCACTCAAATGAGTAACAGAAAAATTATTTTTTATGCTAAAAGTGAAGATCATGATAAAGTGAAGACTGAATGGTTCAGACTGTGTCGCAGCAAGGGTGTGCTATTGGCTCAAACTAAAATATTTCACTAAGAAATGAACTTAAAAATTGAGTGCACATGTATGATAGGTTGGTTAACCAAATTTAAAAATCTCCATAGTATAACGCAATTAAGAATTTTTGGTGAAAAAGCTTCAGCTGATACTGAAGCTGCTGAACTACTTGCAAATGAATTCATTGAGCTCATTAATAGTGAAAAGCTATCTCCAAAACAAATTTACAATGCTGATGAAACTGGTCTTTCCTGGCAACATGTGCCACAAAATACCTTGGCAACCTCTATAAAAAAGGCTCCAACTGATGTCAGATTCGAAAGCAAGACTAACAATTTTAGCATGCACAAATGCTGTAGGAACACACTAGTGTAAACTTTTCATTATCAGAAAAATACACGACCTCAAGCGTTTAAAGGAGTAAAGATTTTCCCTCTTATATCTTGTGCAAATAAAAGAGCACAGATGACACAAGTGTTAATGAGTGATTGGTTTGAAAATCCTTTCATATCCGAGGCTCAGCACACTTCAATTGGTCTACCTGATGATGCAAAAATTGCCCTGATTGTAGACAACTGTTCTGCTCATACTTCATTTAAAGTTTTAGTGAAAGGTAATGCACTTGTATTATTCTTTCCTCCAAACTGTACACCCGTCATTCACCCTATGGATATTGGAATAGTGTGCTCGCTGAAATGCAAACATAAAGTAGAATTTTTAAAAGCAATGTTAAATTTCTTGAATAATGCAAGACTATTTAAGAATTTTAAAAATACTTTTGCATAAAATCTACTTTATGGAGCATCGCAAGATCATGGGAAGATGTGTCTCCAAATACTTTAAAAAAATGTTTGGGGTAATTTATGGCCAGCTACCATTTTTTATGGTGAGGATGATGAATATGATAGCCACGAATGTGCAGATTTTCGAATATCGCAAAACAGTGGTGAAATTTTCCAATTAATGGATTTTGCAAAGAAATGTGGAGAAGCAGTAATAAATGAAGACAATATAATAGAAAATTTTCATTGCAATGACAATGTCCTAATCATCAATCAATAAACAGATGGCGAAATCTGTAGTATGGTTCTAGATCCAGAAAATACCATTACCGATATTGAAGAAACTGACAAAGAGATTATTAAAAATGAAAAAAATTTTATTGACAAGTTAGTCTGAATTCTCGACACAGCAATTACAGGACTTGAACAACGGAGCAACAAAAGAAGCCCCTATTTTTTCTTTTTTAAAAATTTTGCTACCCTTTAGATCATAAGTGCTTCATTATTTCATAAATCATGTTTCCATATTTTAAATTTTATAATTTCTACATGCCATCTTACTAGTTTTAAACCGATGATCTAATATCCAGAAGAATCCGGAATCGATTAAGTCCCAACGAGTCCAAATCTTGGACTTTGTACTGTATTGCAGGGTTTTTTTTTTTTTTTTTTTTTTTTTTTTTTTTACAAATAATTGTGTTTTCTGAAATTCTTGTGGAAACAATAATTAATTTAAATTGAAGGTTTAAAACTTTGTTCCCTGTTTCTCATGCCTCAAAATTCACATTAGCGACAAATGCATTTTGATAGAAGTGAGTTTAGTAATTATAAAAAATTGATGAAAGCAGCAAAATTTTGCTTCCTTTTCAAACAATACAATGTGCTTTATCAAGAAGTAGTAAAAATCTTTCCAATTAGTATTTCTTTCCTCTTAATTACAACAATGTTTAGGTTCATTTAAATTCTCCGTTGGTTATGAGATTAAGTAATTCTTTCTTCCAATATATGCATGATATCTATCAGTTGTAAATTTGTACCACAAGCTATGTTCGTTTGTGTGTTCATTTGTTTCGAAATGCGATTTGTTTTGGTGCATAACTGGAATGCAAGTTGAGCTCATTGATGACCATGAAAAGGTTAAATTATATACAGTACAAAGTCCACAATCTGGACATCCGTTATCCGGAATGATCTATAATCTGTACCTCAAAGCCACAAACTTTTTTTTTTTGTAATGTGTTTACGCATGCGCGTTTAATGTATAACAGACGGTATAAGTTAGGCTAAAATTATCTTTACTGATTCTAAGGCATTTCAGTTAATGTTGCAGATTGCACTGTTCCTTAATCTTCTAATTGGATCTGGCTTATTATTTTTTGCAGACAGTTAGAGCAATTTTATAAAAAATTAAGCTTGAACTTTCGATTATGTCAAAAAGAGTTTCCAATTCTGGAGCTGCCGAAGGATCTACAAAGCGAAAGCATGTCTTGATGTCCATCAAACATAAAGTGGAATTGCTGCAAAAAATGGATAAAGGCATATCCGTCTCAAAATTATGACACTGAAAAGTCAACTGTATATGACATAAGCAAAAAGAAAAAGTAACTTTGCTAAACGTGACGATGATGACAAAGTGATGATTGAATGGGTCAGACAGCATCGCAGCGAGGGCGTGCCATTGACGGTTCCAACACTAATGTCTCAAGCCAAAATATTTCATGAAGAAATGAACTTAAACACTGAGTGCACGTAATCAACAGGTTGGTTAACCAAATTAAAAAATCACCATGGTATAAGACAATCAAAAATTTCAGGTTAAAAAGCTTCAGCTGATACTCAAGCTGCTGAACAATTTGCAGATGAATTCATTACTAGTGAATAATTATCTCCAGAACAAATTTACAACGCTGATGAAACTGGTCTTTTCTGGCAATATGTAACGTGAAATACCTTGGCAACCTCTACAGAAAAAGGTCGATCTGGTGTCAAAGATTCGAAAGCGAGACTAACAATTTTAGCGTGCGCAAATGCAATTTTTTCGTAATCGGGAAACATAACAATTTTCTCCGTTATATATCACGCAAATAAAAGAGCATGGATGACACAAGCGTTGATGAATGATTGGTTTGAAAATCATTTTATACCTGAGGCTTGGCAACATTAGAATTCGGTTGGTTTATCTGATGACTCAAAATAGTCCTGATTGTTGACAGCTGTTCGGCGCATACTTCACTTAAAGTTTTAGTGAAAGATAATGTATCCGTATTATTCTTCTCTCCAAATTGTATGTCTATATTAAGCCTATGGATAAGAAAATAGTGCACGTGCTGAAATGCAAATATAAAGTAGAATTTTAAAAATCTGTTACATTTCTTAAACAATGGTAAGACTATTCAAGACTTTTTGAAATTTTTTAGCATAAAATCTCCAGATACGTTAAAAAATGCTAGGCATAATTTATGGCCAGCTACCATATTTCATGGTGAAGACGATGAAGATGGTAGCCGGGAATTTGAAGGTTTTCGGACATCGCAAACTAAAGGTGAAATTTTCCAGTTATTGGATTTTGTAAAGAAATGTGGAGAAGTGGTAATAAATAAAGATAACATAACAGAAGTTTTTCATTGCGACGACAATGCCCCAATTATCAATCAATTAATGGATGGCAAAATCTGTAGTATGGTTCTAGATCCAGAAAATACCGCTTCCGATAGTAAAGAAAGTGACAGAGAGGTTATTGAAAATGAAAAAATTTCGATTGACAATTTAGTCAGTATTTTCGATATAGCAATTACATGACTTGAACAGTGGAACTTTGTAACTGAACAAGAAATTATGTCTGTTTATAGAATTAAAGAGAAAGTATAAGCACAAAAAACGAAGCAACTTAAACAAATTACATTGAAAGAAATGTTTAATAAAATAACCAAATAAATATTAAGGTTTTTTTTTTTTTTTCTTTTTTTCTTTTTTTTTTTTTTTGTAAATTTTGATACCCTTTAGATCATAATTGCTCTTTATTTGATTAATTATGGTTTCATATTTTTAATTGTATAATTTCTGCATGTGTTCTAACCAAATTTAAATTGATGATCTATGAACCGGAAAAACCCCTAATCTGGAATCGCTGAAGTCCCAACAAGTACGGATTACGGACTTTGTACTATATATATATTTTAACCTAAATTATACCGAACTCATTTTTACCATAGAGTGTTGACATTGCGAAATGCGATTTGTTTTTCATATGTGTAATATATTAATTACGTAACCTCCACTTTCGGCTTCTGTTTACTGTATTCAACATGCTACTTTGATTCAGTTTTACAATATTGGAATATAGCTCATTTAAATTTAAATATTTTAAACAAATATTTGCCATAAAATGAACAAATTAATATTATAATCATTTATACTTTGGCAGTAAAAATATCATGTGTAATATATAAATTATTTTTTGTAAAGCCAATATAAATTAAATCTTTTTATAGCTGCAAGAACAGAAAAAGATCCTCTTTGTTGCCATATATTTTATGAAGCTGGAAAAGTATTAGGTGCTATGGTTGTTGCACTTAAACCCAAAGTTCATAAAGTAAGTTATCATAGTTTATGTAATTTAATCATTTTAAAATTATGCACTCCTGCTAAAAAAATAAGCAACAGACACTAAAAAGGAAAAAGGAATTGAAATATACAATTACATGTGAGGTTGAGGTTTCATTGCCAAATGCAAATAGGCAGCCAAAATTAGCATAAAACATACAGTGGGTACAAAAAGTATTTGCACACATACATTTTTGTTCACAATTTATAAGAAAATGCATTAAGAAATACAAAAATTGGCATTTAAAAATAGAATAAGCTTATTTGTTTAAATTAATTACAAAAAATACAATAATATTAATAAAAAACATTTTTTGCAACAATATTAAAATAGCTTATGTCAAAAAAGTATTTGCACACTCAACTCAACTTTAGCAAATTTGCATTTTTATGCTATTATTTGACAGTCATCCCACAGTAAATAGCATACGTAAGACGACTATAAAAGGAGATGTTGTCGAAACGTTATCCGTTGATTGTCGATTTCAAATTGTAATGGCACCTAAGAAATCTGAATTGCCGATTTCGTTGCGAGAAAAAATTGTTTCTCTACGTGAAAATGGCCTAAGTTATCGAGAAATAGGTAAAGAAGTAAATGTTTGCTTCTCTACTGTTCGGTATATTATAAAACATCATAAAGAAAGAGGATCTACATCAAATAACTTGCGCTCTAGACGCCCAAAGAAACTTTCACTGCGAATAAAGCGAAAAATCATAAGAGAAGCATCGAAAAATCCATTTGTTAGTGCAATTACTTTAGCCAATGATGTCGTTTCAACATCTGGAGTTCAAATCTGTGCCCAAAGTGTTCAAAATGTCCTGCACGATGCACACATTTATGGGAGATCTCCAAGGAAAAAAACCTCTCATAACTGAACGAAATAGACTGAAGAGACTTGAATTCGCTAAGGAATATATCAATATGCCAATTGGTTTCTGGAAAAATGTCATATTCTCCGACGAGAGTAAGTTCAATATCTTTAAATCAGATGGCAGGAAATTAGTTTGGAGAAAACCTTGTACTGCTTTTCATACCAAAAATGTGTTACCTACAGTTAAACATGGAGGAGGTTCTGTTATGATTTGGGGGTGCATGGCTAGCAAAGGAGTTGGTAATTTGTGTTTCATTGATGGGAATATGACAACTCGAACCTATATTGATGTTGTTGCGAGATAACTTGCCACAAAGTGCAATAAAATTGGTGTATCTGTAATTCGTACTATTTTCAGCAAGACAACGATCCCAAGCACACCTGCCGGTATAACACGTATGTGGTTGCTTTATAATGTAACCAGAAAACTTGCCACTCCACCCACAATCACCAGACTTAAATCCTTTGGAAATTTGTGGAATTCTTTGGATTTAAAAATAAAAAAAAAAAAAGGAAGATTTCAAGCAAATCTGCTCTTAAACAAGCCCTTATTGAAGAATGGTCGAATACTGACCCTACTGTTACAGAAAATTTAATTAAATCAATGCCAGCAAGATTACAAGGAGTAATAGATGCTAAAGGAATGCATACTAAATATTAGTTATTTGAAATTTGCTTATATATTTTATTTCCTTTGTATTCATGCAGGTGTGCAAAAATTTTTTTTGATACGAGATATTTTAATTTTGTTACAAAAAAGCATTGTTATTTATGTTATTGTAATTTTTCTGTTTGTTTTGGATGATTAAACTTATTCTGATTTGGCAATACATTTTTTTTTTTTTTTATTTCTCAATGCTTCTTTTTATGAATTGCAAACAAAAATGTAGGTGCGCAAATACTTTTTTTACCCACAGTAATACCAGTCACACTACCCCTTATAATGGGGCTTGCCAGACCTATGCGTTAGTTCGCAAGCAGTAATAGTTCCATAATTCCATGTTAACCGAGATAGGCAATATGGAAAGTAGGAGCCGAAAACGTCATTTGTACAATGAAATGCGTTGGAGGGCTGTCCGAATGTTACAGGCTGGTGCAAAATAATCTGCTGTTGTGAGAGAGTTGAATTTGCATTGCTGTGTCATCAGTAGACTGTAGAATCATCCATAAGGGAACAAACCCTGTTAGAAATGACGCCGCCAGGTACTCTCCACAAGCTTCACCATATAATATTACAGGAATGGGTGTCATGCATACAATCAATGACATTATTGCCTCGCCATTGTCAAGCGTGCATTTCAGATAGAGTGTCTCATACCCATTATTAACATGATGTTTCCTTTGTACAAAATGTACAATGGTACAGACGTATAACAACACCTATTACGAACATCCCACCACAAAAGACCAAATAGGTTGGATAAATTGTACCCATATGTCTATGCTTTGTTTGCTATATGGTCTAGTAAAACCAAACCAGTCTCTTGGATCAGTTTCACGCATATTCATTAAATAGCCTTTGTTGCCTTTTTTTTTTTTTTTTTAGCAGGAGTGGATATATATATATATATATATATTAATTAAAATTATAACCTGAATTAGCAATAGTCCCTTAATTCTTCTTTCTAAATTGGTTATTTCTCATTTATTGTGTATACTGATTTATGAAACCAATTTTTTGAAATTAAAAAATGCAAAATATGGATAATTGTATCATTAAAAACATTTTTGCAAATGGATTTATACGTCTAAGACCAACAATTTTGAGATTAAAGGTCATTTAAGTATTTTCATGGACAAGTTATATATGCATATATATCTCTATATCATAAGCAAAAGTTGTGCTTGTCATTCATAGGCTTCGATTTTAGACATACATTTGATAGCATGAATGTGCCCAAATTTCATTCCAGCTGAATTCCCCGAGGTTACATATCCGAGTTCTCCCAGTCTCTTTCCATGACCTCTTAAGAGAACTTATGGCTCGACTGTATTTCAAGGGCCCGATGCAGTAAAGATGCTATAGGCTTACAAACATTGAATTGAAATCGACTCAAAGACTATGGCAGCTGTCTCCTCTACTACCATGCCAATAGGATTCATTATATATATATATTTTCATTATATATATATTCATTATATATATATATATATATAATGCCTATTGGCATTATATATATATATATATATAATGAAAGAAAGAGATAAAATAATAGATACACATAAATCAAGAGCAGTAAACTGCCTGTAATTTACGAAAAATTAAAGTAAGTAAATTGGAAGCTAATCTAATTCACAAGGAAATCTCAAAACCAAAATTCAAATTAGAATGTTAACCACCTTGGGAAAATACAATTGGAAAAAAAATTAAACAAATTAAACATGAAATCCAATATGTTTAAAATATAGAGATAAAAAAAACGAAGAACACTTAGATACTAATGTTGTACAAGATGTCCTAAAATTAATTAATTAAATAAGAAATAAAATAAATAAGACTATAATATATATAATACAAAATAATAGATAAAATAACCAAGAGAATATAATTAAATCAGAATTAATCATGAAAGATTGATTTAATTCTTTTCTTTTGATTGATTAATTTCACACCATACTTAAGGTGACCAGATGTCCCGCTTTTTAACATTTTGTCCCGCAGCATTTTAAAAAAGTCCCGATTTTTGGAAAGAATGCACGACAAGCTAGGGAACGACGGGAGAATACATTTTTCGGCTGCCATGTGACTACTTCGCCAGGATATGAGTCTTTATTTTTGATTAATTTTATAATGTTAAATTTTAATAATAACAAATAATTGTTGACAACTGATTATCGAGAACTGCTTATCAAAGTTCGCATTCTTGATCAATTGTTAAAATTCGACCACCATTGTTTGGACTTGATGGCATTTTTTTGGCATTGGTAATGACGAAAACATTTTATAACCGTCTTTCAGATGATACACATTGTACTGAGTGTTAGTGCTAGTTAAACAAGTGATGTCAACAAATCAGCTATTCAGATAATTTAGGTACGTAATTTATTTATTTATTTCATAAACACATACATTTTCTTGAATTTAGCAGACAGTAAGTACTCTTATTATTTATATTTTATAGTGACAGCAAAATGTCTAGCGTCAACCTTGAAAGTGAAGCTTACAACTTACGTTACGGCAAATTCAGAGGAAGAAATATAGGAATAAAATTTAAATAATTTTTAAAATATAGTTACTTTATAAGAAACAAATTAATTTTTAAGCTAACAATAAAATAGGTTCATGCAATTATGTACCTACTTACTGTGTTTCTAAGCAATATATATAAATAAAAATTTATAAATTTATAATAAATTACTTCTTTAAATTTTTAACATAATGAGCAAGAACAGAAGAATTTGTGTTGCTCCATATAGACCAAATTTTTAACCAAAAATCCCCTCCCCCCGGTAAATGGTGTCCCGCTTTACCAGTGTTAAAATCTGGTCACTTTAATCATACTGCATGATTTTAATAGTATAATGTATTATTGTAATTTGCCAACTTTTGTTTATAAAGAGACAGAGAGAACATATTTGGATTCTCGCCACTAACAGTGCGAGGCTCTGCAAACATGACACAAAATATGGGTATGTTTTAACTATGATGTAACATTGTCATTGATAGGAACCTTAAAAACTTTTTCTGCATTACTACTTCCAAACAGGCACTAATTACAGCTGATAGACAACTTGAATAAATGATGACTTACCTATGTTAATGCAGGAGGAAAGGCTTAAGGATAATTTTTGTTATAAGGAAAAGCTTGTATTTTTGTATTCTTAGAGGAGAGCATTTTTCAGCATTATTTTATGTTAACTGTATGTTATTATGTTCATGAAAAGATATGGATCAGCAGGGTACTTTTCAGATAGTTTTTATAAAACACTTTGTATGTGAGCTTGGGCTCACTGCAGAGACTTGTTTTGTTCTTCATACAACTGGAATTCTTTTAAAAATAACTTTTTACCATGTATTCTTCCTCCAAATATGAACTTCATTAACTGAAGTAGTTATATAGATAACACCAATTACTTCTTAATCATGGTCAAAATTGCTATAGATGTTACTTTCACACAAATAGGATGCGTAATAGGTGTATGGAGACCACAATTGGACATTCACAACATAATTTGAATAATTTGTTAAGACATATTTCTCATTTTCACATCAATATGCATGTGACAAACACCACAAATTTACATACACTTATCCCATTTCTAGATAATAGAAGATGCAGCAAAGCAATCAGATACACTATCAGGCTAAGAGATTTAGGAAAATGAATCTATTTCAATAAAGGTCTATATATAAGAGTCAAATCCTATGGCAATGAAGTTAACAATGTGGTTAGTTTTTTAAGTGATGCAATTTAGATTCGCGGAACAGGACAAAATTAAATTTAGTAATTTTGAGTGTCATTTTTATTATCTTACATATTTATATGATATTATCATGAAACAAGGTTTGAAATCAAATTCTTTACCTCATAGAAAGTAAGGAAAAAACTTGGTAACAAAATAAAAACTTTTAAGAATTGTAAAAATGAGTTCAGAACAAGAACTGAGAAAGGGATTTTTATATGCTTTCAGTCATCATCAAGGAGAATTCAAAAACGTCCAAAATAGCTGCACTTCAAATTTCATGAATGAATTTTTTCTAATAATTAAATTTTAAAATGAAACTAACCCAAAACAGCAAAAATACATTTTCAGAATTCATTACCAGAATTGGAACTAGATTATCAGAATGAGTCAATATGTAGTCATTTCATGAATGGGTATGTGGTTGTAATAAGTTTAAAAAAGCTGTTAGATGTCTCCAATTATTGGAACATAATGACCTGTAAGGCAGTTGTGTATGCCAGACACTTCTTCTGAACTGTTCAATGCTGACGAAAAATGTGGATTTTATATTTTTATTAATCCTCCTTTCCAGTCTGTCAGTCAAAATTGGGATCGACAATAGCAAATAATCTTAATGTGCTTTTCCTTAATTAAGTAATACTGATTAAAAATCATTTTATTTTTCTAATTTGTATGTATTTACTATTAATTTTAGTGTTTCACTGATAATGTTAGTTAAACTGATTTTGATTATAAATTTAAAATTTCTCCAATGCTTTAATTTGGCTATCATTCTCAACAACAAAACGCTGTGCTATCATAAATGAGATCACGTAAATTAGACTGAAAATGCAATCAACCAGGTTTAATGATCTCATTCATTATACTAATCTATATCAAAGCAAAGTTGAGACAGTGGTATATTGACTAAATGAATAAAATCTCAGAAAAAGGTATGGAACTGAACGTTTTCACCAGAGACAATAAGAATTAATTTTAAAACACTTCTTTTTCATAAAAAATGTGATTTTGTACAGCTGAGATAGCAAGTCACACACGCATAGTGACATAGAACCCTTGTGTAAAGTTGGAGCCAGCAATTCTGTAAAAGAGAAGCTCTTCAGAGATTCTCTAAAACCAAAGTGCTCCATAAAAATTTTCATAATGAATGAAGTCATTCTATTGAAAAGTTTCCATGTTGTTAACTTTTCAAAATGAAAACTTTAAATAGATAGGGTAATCCAAATATTGTACAGATTTAAAAAACTGAGAAATTATGTGACAGAATGTAATATGAATGAATAAATGTTTAATTCTAGTTTCTTTCTTTTTAAAAATAAATAAGGGGAGATGTGTCAAAGATTAACTTTTTTTTATACTGTATAAAATATTTTTACAATAAATCTGTAATAAAAGTATTCTACTATAGTAGCTACAGCTACATGACAGAATCTCAGTAATTCTTGTTCAAGGTTGAATTATCAGTGTATAATGGACAGTTGTGTTGATTTTTTTCATAGCTAGTATAAATCAGAGTTGTTTTTACTTATCTTCTTCTTCATGAAACATCTTCAAAAGTGTTGGAAAATTTGCATTCTCCCTTGCAGCTGCACAGTGCTGAAGATGCATAAAGTTCAAAGCTATATATAGTTCGACAGTAGAAGCCAAGAAGGTGTATCAGAGGATTGTGTGTCCTCCTAAAGTCCTGGTTATTGACATAGCCAGTAGCTGTGATTCTCTTCAGCGTGGTACAGCAATCTGATGTATGGAACCCTGACATGGAAAGGAGATGTCAAAGATTATAATGGAAATAAGAATGTAGCCGAATTTCGAAGCATTTATATGAAGTATCATGTGGAATTGTTGCAGCCAAGTTCTTGTCAATATACCATTCACTTTAATCACGAATTATCCAGTCAAAGATTGACATATCCTGTTCACTGGTTTTGTTAAGCTCAAGGAAAGCATTCATTAAAGTTTATGTTTTAATTTAAGCACATATGCTCTTTTGGTAAGAAACCAATTTTCACACCACACCAAAACTCTCAACATCACCTAAATTAAAATTCAAAGTAACTAGAGTATGTTTTCATATTTAATAGACTGATATTTTTTTAATTACAAAGTGTCTGAGTACCCCTCTTTAAAAAAGACCATTATTCTAGGATATGAGGTTTGGTTTGGTTTATTTGATTATGGCAAAGCAAGGTTATCTGGAAAACTGGCTCGTATCCATGTTACACATGGGGAAACCACCTGTGCAGTCAGCCCGTTTGCCTTAAAATAAAACCCTGGTCAAATTACCAGTGCTCAGCCACTAGGCAAGCAACTAGGATAATAAGCTTAGCAATGCTAAAAACAAATAGCTTCCATTATACAAAACTATATTACCAGTATGCAAGTGTTATTGTTTTATATATGTATAATTTAATATTTTCAATAATATTTTATGTACAATGCTTATAACATACAGTGTAAATTTAATACATACAGTATAAATTTAATATTTTATGTACAATGCTATAACATACAGTGTGAAAACCTGAATATTTACATTTTTAGGAATTGCTTGAAAGTGATAATGGTTTACCAATTGTTTGTGTCGGTTCAGTTTTCAAAAGCTGGGATTTACTAGAGAAAGGTAACTTTTGATAATTTAATTAGAATTTTGTATTACAGCATTCTAAAAGTTTTTAGATATTAATTATAACTGTTTTATTTTAGGTTTTATAGATGGAATCAAGAACCATTATAATAAATGTACTTTAATGACACTTAACTGTTCTGCTGCAATTGGAGCTGCATATTTAGGGGCCAAACTAGTTGGTTTTGAATTACCATTAGATTACAAGAAAAATGTGTCAATACTTTACACTTATGCATCATCTAAATAAATCTCAGAAAGTATCAATCTGCAAATTTTATTATTTAAACTAATATATGTAATGCATTTAAAAATTTTTTGTTAGTACAAAAGCCACCGGTAACCTTAAAACTGCAGATTCCTTAGCTGTGAATTAAATTCAATAGTTTTGACAAACTTTGCAATTAGTGAGAATGTTGTGGACTATTAATTATTTACTGAAATAATGACTTAACATAATGAAATTTAACTTGAATCAATTCATATGTGAACTGCAATTTTCATTGAGTGACCCAGATTAATTTGTATTATGTTTTATAACTAGTACCAATACACACAAATTAATGATAAACTAATCCATACAAAAAACAAAATCTAGTCAAAGCAGAGAGTTCTGTGACTATTTAATCTTACATGTTGAAAAGACTTTTTTTTTTTTTATTTTTTATTTTGTTACTGCACTGCCAATGGTTATACGTAATCTGTGCTGTTTCTGTATCTCTACTATTGGGAAATGGTCTAGATCAGGGCTTCTTAAACTTTTGTCATTCACGACCCCATTTATGATTGCGAGTTTCTTGACAACCCCATACAAATATAAAAGAAAAATAAATTAATATTTTTTGATGATTTATTTATTAGGTAACAATATACATATACATATAAAAATATATAAGTTTAGAATTCGTTTTGAAACGTACAAAAATCTAAAATTAAAAATTGCACAAAAAATTATAAAATTGTATTTATTATAGTTTCAAAAATAAAAGTGGATTCTGACCGTCTTAATTCTCTCGAATATATTCAAGTAGTTGCGTGGTAAGTATTAAATTAAAGTATAAGTAAAAAATTTAATGAGATGGATGTGCCTGTTTTTTATTGCATAACAAATCAAATCTTGGTGAAATGTTTGAAACTGCTGGACGTAAGACCTCTTCAACATTTTTTAACGCTGAACGATATTGGGATTTAATATGTGTTAAAGCTGAGGAAGTAACTTCACATAAATATGTGGTGTTGAATGGCAGAAGTACATTTAACGCCATATCAGCGATTGTGGGAAATTCAGTTCTAGTTCCGATCCAGAATTCAGTCAAGGGCTTTTTTTGAAATTGTAGTTTTAAGTTTGAGTCACTCGAAAGCTCAGCAAATTCCTCTTGAGCTTTAAGTGGCAGGTGATCAATCTCATTTAAGCCAATCCAAAACGGCTTTTGAATCCAAACTATTTTTGGAAATCAATATTTAATTTAAAATATGTCCGGAACTGTATTTCTAGCGCTTTTAAGTGATCTACAATAATTTTTGCAATAAAAGTTTTACAATGAATTTTCTCGATTACAAAATTGTCGACACTGGAAAACATTTCGAACGAATTTTTTTCGACCCTACTTTTCCAAATGTTGATCTTTTTAATAAAACTTTCAATTTTATCATTTGAAGTAAATATATCGCAATATTTTCCTTGAAGAGACAAGTTGAGATCGTTTAACTTCTCAAAAATATCTGACAAATAACACAGCTTGGATAGCCATAAGTCATTTTGAAAAAAAGCAGCAAGTTCACATTTTCGTTCGGTTAAAAATATTTCGATCTCGTCCTTTAATAACAATAATCTTCTTAAACTTTGACCTCTTGACAACCATCTTACTTCTGCATGTAATAACAAAGTTGTGTAGTTGGAATCCGTATCCTTACAGAGATTTGAAAATAAGCGACTGTTAAGGGCGTGGCTCTTAATAAAATTTATGATCTTAACAGCATCCTGAAGCACATCGTTCAATTCTGGTGCTAATTTTTTTGCTGCAAGAGCCTCTCGGTGTATAAGTGAGTAAAAGTTATATGATCATAATGAGCAGCTTGAAAAAATGATTTAAAACCAATATTTTTGCCCGTCATCGCTCTTGCACCATCTGTGCATATTCCACAGCAATTTTTCCATTCTAAACCTTCTGCTTTTAAAAATTCGTCAACTTTACAATATATGTCTTTCCCTGTAGTATGGTCTTCCATAGGACGACAAAATAACAATTCTTCCTCCACGCTTTCTTTATAAACGTACCTGACATATACTAACAACTGAGCCAATTTAGTAATATCAGTTGTTTCGTCCAACTGAATTGAAAATTTTGGGCTTTCTTTAATTCTTGTAATAAGTTGTATTAATTGATCCTTGTTAATATCAGAAATTCTATTCGAGACAGTATCGTTCAACAAAGTAATTTTTCGAATATCATTGCCATATTTTCTTCCATGTAGTATTTCTACCATTTTAATAACAGCAGGTAACACAAGATCTTCTCCAATGGTGAACGGCTTTTTATTTTTAGCAATACAGTATGAAACTTCATATGACGCTAGTAAATATTTTTCATTAACAGTTATAAGTTTTTTAAAGATTTTCTTTTCTTTATTTAAAGATTTCAACAGTCTTTCAAAATATTCTTTTGGTTTATTGACATACGAAACATGCTTTGATTCAAGATGTCTTTTTAATTTTGATGGTTTCATACTCTCCGAAGCCAATAATTCATTGCAGATCAAACAAAGAGGTTGTTCATTACCCTCACAATTTTGAAATGTAAAGCCAAATTGAAGAAAAGACTCATCATATTTTCTTTTTCGCACATTAGATGCCTGTTTCCCAATACTTTGTCCTGCCTGAGAAGAGTTTGTAGCATTATCATCTGCGTCATTACCATTCTTCTTTAAGTTCAGCCATTTATCCATGGCCAAAAATTAGTTTGATCCTAAAATGAAATAAATATATAAAAATAACATATTGCAGATAATAATTGATTTATTAATTACCGAATAAATAAAAAAAAACTAAAATCTTGTTACGGGGGACACTGACAATTGACCACACTAGAAGAGCGTCAACACTCCACTAATTCACATTACAGTCAGTGTAGGCTAGTTTACACAAGCATTTTAGTCAATGCAAGTTACGGAATATTATGAAAATTCGCTTAAAAAGCATAAAATTCACAAATTTTTCAATGGGTTTTACAAGTATTTATGCGCACTTTTTTATAAGAGCCCCACAGACCGGTTTGGTTAATGCGTATTTGCCAGCACATGTATTGAATCATTGTTTAGCTGCAGGTTGCACGTGTGTACGCACGCGCATTTCTCCCTTGTGGGAAGTCAGCGGCGCGCGGTTTATTCAACATGTATGATACCGACAAACGCACTAACAATGTATAGCCACAGTATAATAATAGCGATCATCGATCGTTTACTGCTGTCGGTGGAGATAACTCAAAACCTTCAACAAATGCGCGTGTCTAGACGCTGCAAGTCCACTGTATTCCGCCAACTCTAGTGATGTTATAAAATGATATATATATATTATATATAAATATTTGACATTAAAATCTCTCGCGACCCCAGAGTTTAAAAAGCCCTGGTCTAGATCAATGATTTTCTACCTTCCTCCCCCCCCCATGCATCCCATTCACCATTACTAAACGAATGCATATACATTTATTTAAATTTAGATTGTTTTAATGTGTTTTATAAAATTATAGAAAATGTTGATAAATTCGGAAACTTGAATAAAAGTAGTTTTTATATTCATTAAATAAAACTAAATACAGTACAAAGTCCGTAATGCGGATGTCCATTATCCAGAATAATTTATAATCCGGACTTCAAAGCCACAAACTTTATGCGTGCGCGTAAAGAATGCGCATTTCTTTCAACGTGCATATGCTTCACGTATGCGCGCGTTGAAAGAAATGTTTAATGAAGTAAACAAATAAATATTAAGCTTTTTTTTTGTAAAAGTTGATACCCTTTAGATCGTAATTGCTTTTTATTTCATAAATTAGTTTCATATTTTTAATAGTATAATTTCTGCATGCCATCTTACCAGATTTAAATTGGTTATCTATAATCTGGAAAAACCCTTAATCCGGAATCGACGAAGTCCCGACGAGTCCGGATTACGGACTTTGTACTGTATTTAACACATTAATAAAAGGCTGACAGCATTTCCCCTTGGTCCAATTATTAAAATAAGGATAATTTGTATAGCTTCAAATAAATTTTATATTATAACAATATGAGAATATATAATTTTGTTACTAATGTGAATAAATCACTAATTTTACAGGTATTACAGTTTGATACATTTGCTTATTATTTATTTGTTAGGGAACTTTTTGTACCATATCTCTTTTCAAGCAAATGCATTTACTTCTGTAAAAGGAAATATCTTAATACCAGTTATACTTTGGTTTTCCATTCATTAAGAAACAGCAAATGTATGCATAGCATTTGAAAAGATAAAAATATATATTTTGCTTTAAATATTGATAAGCAGATTTAAATTCAAAAATACACAGAAATATAGGGTCAAAACATAAATAACTGTAATAAGAAATAATATATAACTTATGGTTTGTTGCATGTTTGTTTTAATGGAAGCATTGGCTTGACTTTCAATGAAACGTGTTCTTTCTTGAAGTTAAAAAGAAAGAGTTCAAAACGAAATTTTAACACATTGACTGCCATGGAGGTCACTGGTGGTCGGCACTCTGCTACAGTGCCATGGAGGGAACTGGTGGCATGACCAATTGTAAAAATACATAGAGTAAATATCGATGCTGATATTTTTACTTCCTTGTACAAAGTAAAAAGGAAGTATTGTAATCGCGAAAAATTTCAAGCATCGTATTCAACGAAAATATCCATTTTGACCGCATTCGAATGCAATTTAATGATGTTTTTGCGTGACATTTGTATGTAAGGACGGAATAAAAGACTCTTTTTCCACCCCAAAAAATTGTAAAACTACTTTAAAATTAATCTCACATAACTCAAAAACGAGTAGCCTCAGAATGTTGAAATTTTGTATATAGGACTGCTATAACATGTAGATGCGCACCTCATATTTTGGATGCAATTGGCTGCACCAAAAGTATATAAATATATGTATATATATATAAATTTAAACAAATTTAAATATTAACAAACATGTATATACGTAAAAAAGCAAATTTAAAAGTTAAAATAATTAAAAAATGTACAAACATAAAAGATTTAATTTTTGAACTGATCTACAATATCATTTAAATTCAGATAGCATAAGTAAATCAAGTGCAAAACCAAACCATGAAATATATATACACTCTGTTACCCCACTTAGTGATCTCAGTTTTACTCTTATATGTTCGTAAATTGTGCATTTTTTGCTTTACAAATGATTGAATTATGTTGTTCTTATATTCCGGTTAAATTTTTTATACCTTTAGTAAATTTGTATGCAGTAGTTTTAGAATTATCAACAGTTTAAAAGTTTTGCCGCTAAGCCTAATAACTTTTTCCATGGCGGCCATTGCTTGTTTACATTTGAAACAGCAGAATAGTAGATTTGTTGCCAATCTAGAGAGAGAAAGCTTAACAAAGCAATAACAAAGATAATGCTGCCTTTTATTATTGTGAATTAAATCATGGATAATACATTCTGGAATTTATTCGAGGAAAATAAGCGTTTAAGATTTACTTCGTAATTTTTAATATGGATTATTTTCCGATTTTATGTAATTTTGCCTTGGCGGGAAGGGAGAAGTGAATTATTTGCATGATAAATAGTGAATCATCTGTGAAAAACTTTCTTTTTTGTTTTGTTTGCATAATTTCTTTTATACATCGTTGTAGATTTATTATACTATTTTAATAGAACATGTGGCAACGATTAGATAATTCTTCGAATGATAAATTTTGTGCATTCTGGTGTTATAATATGAATGAAATATAACACTGTTAAGTGAATCTAGTGCCACAGTGTCGCTATGGTAAACAAACATAGTGAATTTTAAAGAGTGCATTTATTCTATTGTGCTTTATGCGCTATCGACGAAGTAGATTTAATACAATCCATAAGTTTAAATGAAATGCAAGAAAGAATGGGTATAATTTAATATTCCATACAAGGAAGTCATGTGGTGCACATGAGATTTTTTTAAAAGTAATTCCATTGTCACCGTAACGGTTTGAATAATAAATCGCAAAAATGTTCTATAGTGACTCAGGTGTCACCGGCGACCTTGCCACGAAAAATGTATTAAACAGGATTATATAACTTACCTTATCTTCTATAGATATTATTTTAACATCACATAATAAAAAATTCATGTTGGTGTACGGCCATGCAAAATGTGTGCAACAGTTAATGTGATAATGATACTGAAACATGCGTATTCTTTTATTTGATATATGTTTATTTTGAGAAAATTACATTTATTAAATGTATTTTAATTTACATCAGCTTGATCGTCTTATTTAGTAATTTTTTGTTTTTTCTTTATTCTCCTTAGATGTTCATTATGATATTTTATACCTTGATTTTTAAAATATTTATTATTTTAGTATTAAAATTAACTAATTTTTCTCTTGAACTACTGTTAAATAATTTATATCATTGTTAATAATTTATTACTATCATCAGCTTATTATCTTTTATTAGCCAGAACTTATTGATGAGAAGCATAAAAATCAGCCTTTTCTTGGCCAACACTTGCTTAATGGATTTCATTAAAGTTCTTGCATACTCTTTGCTAGTAATACAGAGTAACATAATGAAACATAAAAATAACATTAAGTTATTGCTTATTGTTATTAAATGAGCAAAATCAGTATTACATTCCACTAACTAGTTAAGTAAAAGCATTAAAGAAATATAAAATTATCTTCCTAATACTGTAAATAGAACCAAATGAAACATAGAAAAGTGATTTTTATAATATGGAAGCTTTGTATTGTTGTAAAAACTTTTAACTTATTCTTGGCACAAAGCCTGATTCTTGAGAAATATCAATAAAGCTCATTTGTGTTTCAAGAAATATTTTTTTAAATAGCTTTTACCCAAACTATTGTAAAGCAAAACTTAGAAAATGCTTTTTTAAATAATTTCCAAATATTAAAACATAAAATCATGATCTTAAAATATGAATTTTCTCTTGACTAAATGTTTGTTTTTGTCAACCAAAAATTCTTACGTATGTATATTTATTAAAACTTGTTTTTTTCTTATGTAGTTTGGACTTAAAAGTTCAGGGAAATAGTGTAAAATTCCTTTGTGAATAATTCAAAATATTGGCACACTACCACCTTCAAAATAATCCTATTGCATGAGGATATACTTCTGCTAGTAATTTCTGGAAGCATTGTTCTAAATATTTATAATGGCATCCTCCAATGCTGCTCTTATCTAATCTTTTATACAAATCAGTATCCTTACAAACTTTTTTTACTAAAAAAGAAACTTGAATTAAAGATTACAGCTAAGCAGGCAAGATGTGAAAGCACCTTTATACCATTACGGATTGATGTGCATTTGCATTGTCGTGGAAAAATTACCATTGTCTTCTTTGTCATATTTCAAACTGTTACAGACAGGGACAGTCAAGAAGGAATGATAAAATGTATTTTGGGCCATGTAAAAATTATTTTTTTTTTTTTTTTTTTTTTTTTTTTTGGGAGGGGGCTGGTCACAGTATCCAAACTTTTGGATCCTACAACATATAACAGCTGTGCCAACTCTAGAATATATGAAGAGCATATTTTGAAAAATTAAATATTTTAAGGTACATAATTTCATTTGTCAAAAATATTTTATATAAAAAATTAGTCATACTGTAGTGTAAATGTGTATTTAATGTTTTCTTTAATTCTAGTATTACAAGACAACAAGCAAGAAATAAATATTTCAAAAAGCACGTTACATCTCTTGATTTTTTAATATTGGTTTCAAACTACATTTAATTCTATGCATACTTAATTCTAAAGAGATTTATTAAATCGAAATCAGTTATTTAAACATTACATATATTCAGCTTATTGGACAGAAAAATGCACACTACAGAAATTCTTTGGTTAGTAAAACATATACAAAACAATTATAACATTCTCAAAAACAAATTACCTTATTTTTATCAACACGAATACATTTTTCAATCTTGGATAATCAATCTGCTGTTTATTCACATTGACTAGATAAACAGCTAAAGGCATCTATCATAATCAATTATAAAAATATACTTTTTGATTGGTTATTGATTAATTAATGAAAAGCTAAGGAATTCCTGTATTTGTAAAGTGCTTAATAAATGAGGCCAAAAACTTGAGAGACAAATATTTTCATTTGGTTTAAAATTAACACATTAGTTTTTGCTAATAGAAAACGAAATTTAACAAACTAACTAAAATTTGAAAACTGGCAAGATTTTTCAAGATCTAGTATGGTAAAGAAAATTCACAATAGAGTACTTCAAATTGATTCAAACAAGTCTCATAAATATTGCCTGTCTTCAAAGAGAGCAAAAAGTCCTACTTCATTACACACACACAAAAACAATACACAAATATCATTAAATGTACAAATTTTTAATAAACGGATTTGTACTAAAATCACTGAAGATTAATTTTCAACAATGCTGTTACGAGTATCTCCAACAGAACATGATTAATGAAGTTTAATTAGTATGTTTACAATGTTCAGCAATATCCAGAGTAAATTTAATTGAAAAATTTAAATGAATACATGAATTCCAATTAAGTTTTCTATATGATTAATTTTTGTAGTTAGCTAATGCATATTTACATCCAGTACAAAGAAATGTTGAAAGATTATACTTTCATATCGGATGAGTATATGCAGCAGGCATCTGCAAAAGAATAAAATAAAACTCATACTTTGTTTAACAGAATTTTCTTCCAGTATACTTGGAGCATAGCTCCAAACTATTCTGACCTACCAAAATTTTTGATGATTTTTTTAAAGCTGCTAAGCAATTTTGCAAGAATTTAGTGTTTTGCAGCCAGTAGTGTAATCATGCACAGAGAGGAATACAGTTTGTATGTGTCATATGACTACATGTCAAAATGTGTAGATATTGTATCACACTTGCCAAAGTATACTGAATGGATGAATATAAAGCAGATAACTCATGTGTATCTTACAAATTATACAGCTGTGAAATGCCAAAGAACAAAATTACTTCTTTGTATATGCAATTTTTGAAACGTATGCTACTTAAAAATAAGTATCGAATAATTTGTTAAAATTATAATTTCAAAAATTCTACAATACAAAGCTAATTTCTTAAATATTATTTCAGATTTTGATATTCAGATTTTTTCTAATCAGCAAAGAAATTATTCTTGCATGTCTGACAAATGTATAATGCACATCAATGATTATATCTCTGCTCAGAAAACCATACTGCTTTTAAATAAGCAATTTTTCACAACATATCTCTGAATAGACATTAATAATCAAACAGCAGCGACTGATAACTTGAGCAAAGTTGTTTTCTGTACTGTATATAACACACAGTTTTTGCTTAAATTAGAATATCTGTTTTTAGACATTCTAAAAGTCTGAAGTGAATTTAATCTTGTTTTAAGTTTTAAAATAATGTTTTGAGATCAATCACAGTAGAATTGAGGTCTCATTATTTAAAGACTTATAAACTTCAAATGTCAGAAAGTTTGCATGTTTCTCAACTGATTGAGGAACTATGACCAAAATTACTTTTGGTCTTGATCTAGTCAAAAACATCTGCAGTCTTAAGTAAACTAGTTCGATAAAACTCGAACTATTAATGCGAAATGATGCTGGTAGCACTCAACCATTTTTCTTAAAATGGACATCAACCTGAACACATTCTGTCACACATACAGAAACCATGTTATAACAATTCTTGGATGCAAATGAGAAATCTGCAATTCAATGTTCAAATTCATCTATATCCAGTTGGCTTCATTTAAGTTTTTCTAATTTCTTCTGCAAGAAACAGCCTTTTTTTCGGAGGATTGGGGGAAATTGTCAACATTATTATTAACATATTTCAGATCCTTAACATATACATCTGTAACTCCACACACATGTATGCCACCAGCAGATTAAAAGTTAAAAGAAAAATATGTCAACACAGACATTTAAACTGCAGGTAATGCAGCACTGTCATCTTCATTTATCAATCCAACAGAATATTTCTTAAGCAGAGCTAAAGGTGGCAAAGGTCTTTTTGGCCAAACTTTTGGTTTCTTAAGATCTGTGGCCTCTTTCCATAGCTTCTCCATTTTTAGTATATAAGGGAAAATATTTTGTTCAATCCATTCTGCAACAGTATATTCATCATATACTTCTCGAAGAGCATCTCTTGCTGTTCTCACTAGGGAAGTAAGAGGATAATACACTGAAGAATAATCAGCTAAACCTTCATCAACACGCATTGGGCTACTGATATTATGACGGACGTTGTAGTCGGTCAACCAAGCTTTATGAATAGTTACATCATACAAATAATCGTCTACACGTTTAATAGCTTCACTGTGATGCTGTGTCAGGCGAAACACGGCTGAACCGGGGAAAAAGCAAGATGAAGCTCTTTGCCATAGGTGTGGATCTATCTCAAAATCAACCTGTGCCCTCTGATGAACAGTACATTGTAGAACATGGTGAAATTTGGTGAAAAGCTGCTGGCTGAAGTATCCTTGTGTCAAAGTTAACAAGTCAATAATTAAAGAAGGTATTCCAGCTGGAAGAAGTTCACACAGAGTTGCCAGATGATCATAACGTTGCCAGCCAGTGATGACAATACCTCTAAAATTTCCAAACTTTTTGTGTTGCTCAGCCATTACTTCCAACCATGCTTCGTTATTTTCCAAATGCATTTTTACATTAGGGACAGTTAAGGTTTCTCCAAAAGCACCTTTAAAAGCACTTGCAGCCCAAACGAAAGGAAATACCTCACTATACGACATCCAGACATTGTATGGCACAAAACGATACACATCTTTTACATAGGTCCAAACCATAGGCTCAACTAATTGTCCAAGTTGAAACTCTTTCAGTTTTTCAGTAGGCATTTGTCGCAACATATCATCCCATATGATGGGTATTACCTAAAATAAAATATGCATATTAATATCCTTGAAATTTCTACATGTATCATAATTTTATGTACTTTTAATACATACTATTTATGTATATATGTGTGTGTGCGCAAGGACATTATTAATAAAATTTCTTATGTACACATTAAAATTATTATTCAAGTATAAAAATATAACAATTATAATACATATTTTTTACAATTTATGCTAAAACTTTGAACCGCAGCAAAGTAACTTGTATTGCTAAATGAGCAGTGCCCACTTGTGGTTTTTCCCATTAGCAGCATTGCTCCTAATTGCTGCTATGCAGTAATGCTTGAAAATTAGTATAAGTAATTTATGTGTATAAGTGTATTTGCTAGCCAACCACCACTTTCTTCAAAGCATGTAGTATGTTTTGGTTTGCTTTCAGGCATATTTCTGTGTTCGAAGATGAAGAAAAAGCATTGTATGAATTTCATTTTTATAACTAATGTAAAAGGATTTATATTAAGGAAAGTTTGTTACTTTATAAAATACAAAAAAGCTGTCTTTCTTTAAGCTACATAAAGTCACCAACCATCTACTGTCTGTCATCAGTATTTACTAAGAATCTATAGTGAAAGAAAATTTTTTTAATTTGAAAAGCACGCTACTGGGCAAAAATGCATTTAAAGAATATTTATTTGTAGCATATTAATTTGTAAAGAATATCTATTTAAATAGGAATTTTGACCTCAGTACTGGTACTAATAGTATTGCCAAAATTTGAATGGTTTATAACATATGAATTTAAGGAACATAATATGTATTTTATATGCATAATTTCTCTGCCATGATATGTTCATAAAACTGTTAGCGCAAATCGTAGGCCACAATTTTTTTTTTTCCCCCTAATGACTGACTGCCCTGTGAGTTTTTGCATTTTTTAACACAATATACAAGGTTAAGTTTTTTAAGAAATTAACAAACTAAAATCTTCACAACAAAGAAACAAACTGCTTGTTTAAAATGACACAATGGTAGTAATACTTTTCTGATCAAATAAAACTATGTACTTCATTTTGATTAAATATACTGGCCTTTTTAGCAAAGAAAAAGATCGCTAGCTAATAGTGCACATAACTGAAGTTTCCCAGAGAAACTGAATGAGTCGCTAATTAAGAAGAAAAATGTAGTAATAAAAGCCATAACAGAAAACAAATCCTTACAGGTCAGTTCTCTCCTGTTAGAATTCATATTTCATACACCACAAATTCAAAAATGGATTTTTTGTTGATAAATGTTTTCAAATAAAATTTTCTGATTGTTATAGGAAGAAATTCTAAAAAGGTAGTAACTACTGAAAACCTCCCCCCCCCCCGACTCTGCTGCTATGAAATGGGCATATTGTAAAAAAAATGTCCCCTTTTCCGCCCTCATTAAACAGCTTAAGTGTTGTATGTAATACATTGTTATTTTTATTCTTGTATCCATGTTCTAAATCACACTTTCATTAGATCAAACATCTGAAGTTTAAAATTATTTTAAAACTCTGCTGCACTTTTTAAAAACATACTATTTCAAATATTATGAAATTTGCTTAAATGTCGCTCCCAACTGAGCAAAATATGCTTTTCCAGCTGCATCTCAGTACCTGCATGCCAACAAAACCAATAATGAAAAGAAACAGTTTCAACCATATTAAATATGACAAACCCACTTTCCTACTGTATTACAACATGACTTTATATATATGTATAAAACAATCTAGAACTTTTTATGCATTTAATAGAAAGAGCAATGCAATGAAAAAGTTTTGCTCAATGAAATGATTTGTTTTTGTTGTGCTTTTTAGCATGGAATTTAAAAATATGCAATGTAAAGGTATAAAAAATACAACTCTGAAGTTAAGCAAATTTCAACTTTTATTCAAAACTGGTTGTGTTTTATTAAATAACAATATGTTTGTTATCCCTGACAGACTTGCATTAAATTGAATATTGAAATGCAGAACTTTTTAATATCAATCTTAAAAAGAAGTTCAAAATGTCACACGTATTAATTAAGTCTTAAGTGTTTTCATATTATTTACAAAAAGAACAGCCTTGTTTGGAATTATATACATATATATATAATTAAAATCGCAGAATATGCTGTGCATTTCATATAAGTGGCTGATAATAATAAATGTACAAAAGAATCTGTAGATTTTATAATTACTTGCCACCTGCAGTGAATGATATGTATATCAGCTCATATAAGAATTTAGTATTTATTTACAAAGTGCAGAGAATGTTTATGATGCAATTGCAATTAACAGCTATTTCAGAGAATTTAGGATTAAAGTTTTTTTTTTCCTTAGAAATAATAATAATTGTATTATATGTAACTTAACCTATCTTTATTGTATTTATTATGTACTGCTAATGTAATTATAATTGAAAAAAATACCTAATTTAAGCTGATAAAAATCCTAATAGCCAAAGTATTTCCTTAATATAATTTTTTTTTATAGTTTGAAAACAATTTTCTTGTCTTACCAGTTAGCAACAGAATTTTTAGAATAGAAAAATACATGAAATTAAAAAAAAATATTACCTTATGTTTCTCTCTCACATAACGAGCTACTCGTGCTACATGCGATAAGAACAAGTTATCCCGATCAAGCCTCATGCACTTGCTGCAGTAACCAAGATGATAAACTTCATCACAACCAACATGTAACCACCTAATGTTTGGATGCATGGCCATTACTTGATCAATTATATTCTCAATCAAAGTAAAGGATTCATTTCTTGATGGGCAAATTGCTTGTGGATAATCATCAACTTCTCTAAGTTCTCTGAATTCTTTCAACTTCAGCACAAATTCCAAATGGCCAAATGTTTGTACAAGAGGAATGACCTCAAAGTGGTAGGTCTTTGCTAAATTGAGTATCGTTTGTACATCTTCCCTAGAATATGCATTTTTGGCAGGAACTGTTGCTAAAGAACCTGAGAAAGGAAACATATCTTCATACTCAAGCAGAATTGCATTTGCACCAGCTTCCTTAAGCACAGGGAAAAGCTGCTTGAAGTAAGTCACTTTGGGAGGCGCACCTTTTAAATCAAAGTGAACAACACGAAGAGGGGGGACATAATATGAATTTCCTGCATTCCCATCAGCATTTTGTTGATATTGCCAGGTTTTACTTTGTTGGGGATCTTGCCAGTTATTTGGTAGGTTATTAGGAACTGCTCGTCCACCATCATATGCCTGAATATGGTCACCTATCCTGTTGCTCTCCACTGCTCCAACATAATTTATTGCTCTAGGATCACCACCAGGTTGTTGTTGTTGGTACCTATTATGGAACAAGAGCAGAAAAAAAAAATATAAAAAATCTGATATTACAGGAAACAGCAATTTGCTACTTCCATTTCTAGATATAAAAGTGCATCAAAGCAAACATTATGACAGAAATAAATGCAATGTATAATATAATAATAAGATAACAAACAATTTTGAATTATATATGGTAAAGTTATTGTCAAGATAATAGAAATAAAAAAAATAAAAATGTAGCATATTAAGGTCTTTAAAGCATTTCTCTAAATAACCAGAAAATTTTTCAGTGCATAAGATGATATAATATAGTTTGCATCTCAACTTCTGTATAGATATCTTCATGGTATGTAGTGCATTAAGATCATAATTTAGATCAGGGGTCTCCAAACTACGGCCCGAGAGCCACATCCGGCCCGCGGAGAGCTAGCATACTTGAAAACTCCTTTTAGAGAACATATTTTTTATAGCAAATTAAATTTAGTTTACTGAAGTATTCTAATTTTATGTTGAATAATTATTAATATGACATCTACATTGATATGGTCATGGGCTAACTACTCATAACATTGTTGTAGGCTTATTGTTATTTTTTTTGTGATAAGTTGGATAAAGAAACACAGAATTGTAATGAGTAAAGACATGTATGATATGCAGAAAATTTAACTTCAGTACATAATAACTAACAAATTATTGAAATGAATCCAACTAACATTTTATACATTTTAAATAAAAACATAACTTATAACAAGCATAATGACATATGAAATACTAATGAGATTTATGTAATTGAGATTTTCCACTGACAATAGTTTGTAGCTGTGGACTAATTTTACTTGTACCAATTATTAAAATAGATTTAAGATGCTCATCAGTTAATTTAGATCTGTAAACATTTTTTGTGTACTTCATTTTGGAGAAGGTCTTCTCACACAAATAAGTAGTACCAAAAACAGAAAACAGCCCACGAGCAAATTTATGCAAATTATCAAATTGTGTCAGTGGAAGACTCTTATAAAATTCCAACAAAGATGAGTTTTGATATTTGTTCTTAATTATATCAATGCACTGTAGATCAATCATTTCCATTTGAAGTTCCGGGGCTAGGGTTTCAATGTCAGTATCAAAAGGATTCTGAAAATCTTTAATTTGATTCGCAATGGCATCAAAGTCCGAGAAACGAGTATCAAAATTTACTTTCAAAGCACTCAAAGTTTCGATTGCAAAATCGATAGGAAACTCAGTCTCAGTGGTGTGGCTGAATATTTCACATGTTTTAAAATGTGAAAAACATTTACTTCGTAGTTGTGATTGAAACAGTATCAGTTTCTTCCGGAATGATTTGATATTAGTGTATAAAATCAGGAAGATGCGGGTTTTCTCCTTGCAATCTCAAATTCAGTTCGTTCAAATGTTTTGTCAAATCAACATAGAATGCTAACTTCCACAGCCATTGCGTTGTTTTGTAATTCAGTAAGAGGGCGATGCTTTTCATTCAAAAAAATTTCGATCACTGCTCGAAGTTCAAAAAAGCGCTGAAGGACTTTCCCACAACTAAGCCAACGTACGGCAGTATGATAAGGTAAGTCATTTTCTCCAATCTCTTCAATAAATTGTCGGAATTGTCGGTGATTCAACCCAAAAGATCTAATAAAATTAACAGTTGATATGACTGGTTTCAGAACTTCAGACATATCCAAACATTTTCCGCACAAGGACTGTTGATGAATGATACAATGTAAGACTAATGGTTTTGAACCACCGTCATTTTCTACAGCCTTTGACACAAGAGCGACCACTCCTTTATCTTTCCCACTCATGTTTTTGCCTCCATCAGTTGTAATACATTTCAAGTTTTTCCATCGAAGGTTCTTTTGATTAATGGCCATTTCAACTCCTTTAAAAATATCTGTACCAGTAGTTGTGCCATGAATACTATACATATCAAGAAGTTCTTCATGCACTTCATAGCTTTTATCTACTCCTCGAATATAAATCAACACCTGAGCAGTATCTGACTCATCCAAGGCCAAAGAAAACCACTCAACATGTCCATTTTTGTCGAACAGTTGAGAGGATATATTTTCAGCAATGTTTTCCACCCTTCGAGCCACAGTGTTTGCTGACATACTGACAGTTTTTAATAAATTTACCTTTTCAGGGCATATTTCTTCGGCTACTGCAATTATGCATTCTTTGATCATTTCTCCATCGGTGAATGGTTTTCCACGTTTTGCAATTTCAAGAGCCACACGAAAGCTGGCACAAGTTGCAGCCTCTTGTTCAGTTTTGAGTTTTGTAAATGAAGATTGCTGCGATTTCAATCCGCGTTTCATAGCTTCGAATTTTTCTGTCCGCAAACTCCCTGTATATTTTGAGTAATTTCGAAAATGTTTTGTTTCATAATGACGTTTAATGTTATATTCTTTGAGAACGGCTATGCTTTCATTGCAAATCAAACATAGCGCCTTGTTACTGGACTCAATTACGAAATACTGAATGTTCCACTGATCTTTGAATTTTCTGCATTCACTATCAATTTTTCGCTTCTTTTCCATACTACTAAATCACACACAAAAGCAACAATTCAAATCAAAATACTGTTACAAAGATGTCTTAAACACGCACAAACACGTTTTAAGGAGGTATGCACTATTTTATTCCACAACAGTGTCATAGGAACTGACTTCTGTACGTGCTATTAGCGCCATCTGTTAGTGATGGAAGGTACTACCTATTTCCGCTTGTGTCCACCAGATGTCGTGTCACGTTACTCCTCATGGCTCGTACTCTACGACTAATCTAGAAATTACAGATAATGACAGGAAAATTAATAATATGCAGTGCTGCCGTTTTGCGGACTTTAGTCCGATTTGCAGCCTTTTTTAAACGTTGCGTACTTTTTCGGACTTTTTTATTCATCAGTGGACTATTTCACTTTTTACCACCGGCAACAATGATAATATGGTTTTGGCCCTCGGAACTTACTGGAGTAATCAGTATGGCCCTAAGGCTGGAAAGTTTGGAGACCCCTGATTTAGATAAAAGTAGTAGCCTTTAATAAGGATCCAAAAGTTTTTTTTTTTTTTTTTTTTTTTTTTTTCTTCCTCTTTAAATACGGTCAACACTACATAGAAAATTATGGTTTTTCAATTCTGTTGGGCATACTGAACTAATAAAAAGTATTAACATATTTAGGATAAAGTTCTAAATACTGTCCAGGAATGTATTATTTCAAAGAAATGGTTCCGGCAGAAGCTCTTGTGTCTCTGAAGCTTTTCAGACACAGTTGCAAAGCTCTTTGTTCAACGACCTTCACAGCATTAATAGCTGACTAAGTAAACAAAAATATAAGTCTATCTTAATGTTAACGAAAACAACCCTCTAATGCAGGAGTTCTCAACCTGTTTCGAACCATGCACCCCTTTCACCATTACTAGAAGATCATCCCCCCTCCTTTCCGAAACTCAAAAATAAATACATTCATTTTTCTAAATTTAGATGATTTTTTAACATAGTTTATAAATTAAACGACAAAAAGTGTAGAAAATGTTGATAACCAAAACTTGAATAAAAGTTGCATATTCATAAATTGAAACTAAAGACTTAACAGCTAAATAAAAAGCTGACCAAATCCTGCCCTGAACCTATGAAATTTCCCCCTGGTTGAGGACCCTTTTCTTAGGGGGGAGGAGGTAATACAGAAGATCAGCCTTCTCACTTCCTATACATAGGCTGACAGAAGGAACAACTGTCACATTTTGGAAAAATCACATGAGTAGTTTTTAAAATATTACCTCTCAAAATATTAGCTCCTCAATATTAATTGAATTTTATATATATTTATTAATATCTCTTTTTTTTTATCAAACTTACTTTATTTCTTCTTCCAGAATTTGAAATTTAGGCTTAATCCAAATAAATTTCGCACATTTTTTATGATTTATTTTTTAAATTTATATTTTTATGAATTTTTTGAAAACATTTTTGTATTATAACCTATAAAATTAACATCATCATAAAGTAGATGTATTTCAAGGCACACCTGCAAAAAATTAGAGTTTTTTTTATTCAAAGTTTTCTAAGATATGCACGAATTTACATATTGGCGCGTTTCGAAATTTGGCATATTTGTTATCAGTGATAATAACGCCAAATGTGGCTTACACATTTTAATAAAATTATTTGAAAGTAATAAACGATGACTTTTTCCCCGCTCGTGTACAATGAAAAAACAGAAAAGAAAATAGGTTTCTATAAATTAAGAAGTTTACCGAATAAATTATTCTTGGTGCAAACTGAAAAAAATGCGCCAAGATAAATGTTCATAATTTGAGTCGTAGAATCGAAATATGGGAAAAGTTTCAGAAAAAGTCCTATTTTGTGTCAAAATACCTATATTAGAACAATGCTATATATAAATCTAATACATATCCTAAATCGGGCTTTTCAAATATGAAACACATAATTTGAATTTCGTCAATTGCCGAATAAATCGCGAGATTTAGAACCACTCCCCCCTTTTTTTGCACAGTGTACATTAAACATTATGTTCATTGTACAGTACAAAGTCTGTAATCCGGACGTCCATTATCCAGAATGATCTATAATCCGGACCTCAAAGCCACAAACTTTATTTTGCATGCTTTACGCATGTGCGCTTACACACAAAAAAGCGAAGTAAACAACTTGCATTGAAAGAAATGTTTAATAAAGTAAACAAATAAATATTACGCTTTTTTTTTTTTGTAAATTTTGATACCCTTTAGATCATAATTGCTCTTTATTTAATAAATTACCGTTTCATATTTTTAATTGTATAATTTCTGCATGCCATCTTTCCAGATTTAAATTGATGATCTATAATCCGGAATCGCCAAAGTCCCGACGAGTCCGGATTACGGACTTTGTATTGTATTTAGAAATACTTTCATAAATTAAAGCCAGTTTTACTCAGGATTTTCTCAATGTAAATGTATAAGAAAGTTACAAAATAAAGTCAGCCAACAACATAAAATTTAGAATTTCCAATTAAATACATTTTACATTAGGCTCATATTATAAAGAGTTCAATAACCCATATGTGAATTTAAGGCAATTTAGAGTTCTTTTGAAGCAGCATCGCTGTGAATGCACAAATTTCCCAGAAACCCCCAATTTTTCAAATTTCAATGCTAGCAGCCAAGTTTATTATTTTTAAATTTACAAATGTTTCGTTCATTCTCAAATCATTTCTATCATTACAAGAAAGGGATTTTTTTACCTCGGTGGTTTACCACTCATATCCACCAAATGTCCAGGACGTATTTCTCCTGTACCAAAGACATTTTGGTCTTGCCTCTGATTAAGAGCAGATAGATTCCTCCGTGGTATTAGGGTCTTATGACTTCCACTCACTCCTGCCATTCCCAAAGGATATTCTTCCCTGCCTCTCGGTTCAGGTAGCCCATTGGCAACCAAATGGCCATTACTCCCATTAGATCCAAATTGTAAACACACAATAAATACTGACATGACCATCACAAAACCCAGAAGAAGACTTTTTCTTCTCCATAGTGAGAATAAGACGTGCTGTGGACAGTGGCGAGCTACCTGAAATAGCATCTTTCTCCTTCTACAGACTTCTTATTTTGTTACCTGCAAAAAATTTGACAAATTTAAATTCGGGTAGGAAAAAAAGTACACAAAATGCAGTATAAAATCATATTTAAGAATTCTGAAACTTCTCAGCTGCTTATTTTTAAACAAAGAAAAATACAAAATAAAGTAATGTAATGGGGAAATATGTAAATAACTTCTCTTTGTATGTACTGGATATCTTCTAAAATTAATATGCAAGCCATTTAAATCATTCTTAGATTTTGTTTTACAATTATTTCATTAATATTCAGTTAAATTTATTTTACAATTATTTCAATCAATTCATAGAATTTTACGATTACAAAATACATTCAAAAATTTTTCAGTGAAACAGAAGTCTGGCGAATCTTAAACAGAGTTAAGTGGCATTTAGAGCCCCCCCCCAAAAAAAAAAGATGAAGAAGACAGTCACCACATGTTTTTATGAAAAGTAATTTCGCAACATTTTCCTCAGCATTTTCTATTTGTGCCGTTTGCTCCATTTTGAAGAGCCTGTGTGGCTACAAGAGGTGGCAAAATTTTAAAACTTACAGGAACACCAAGCAGTATATTTAGAGATAGTAAAATATTCTTCAGTTTACGGAGGCACTAATCAGCTGAATTTAGGACTTGCAGAAATTGCACTCTGTGCAAAATGCCAATTATGAACTTGGACAAAGTCCTGTTATAAAATTTAGATAAGCATATCCAAGAATTATTCCTTTGTGGTAAATTGTTTCGGGTGACGAAGGGCCTTCAGGAATGAATTAGATTCGTGAACTGAGGTTTCACTATATTTGTGATGTTGAATCAAGAACTCGAATCACATTTTCCTGTACCCACCACAGTTTAAGGATAAAAATATGGCAGTGTTATTTATGAATTAAAAAAAAAGTTAAACTTTTCCCATTAGTTTTGTCCAAGTTAACTGAGTTATTCTCAATGTATAGTTTCTGCATGCAGCTGTTCAAAAGTGTATATAAACCCAGATTCTTATGTTTTCTAGTACCTTGAAAGTGTTTTAGACGCTGATAATAAACAGCTATTCTGTAAGACCACATTGTATCCTATGATCCTATAGCTTTAATTGTCCAATTTAGACATGCATTTGCAAAATTAATAACTAGCAATAACATCAAGATCATGCAAAATGCAGCTCTCAAACAGTTCTGTTCTATAAAAAAATTAACAATTAAAAAGGAAATGGAAATTCCATAATGCATAATGTATTTCACCAATACTGTTTTCAGAACCCAGAGCCAAATCCCTAACACTGATAACAGAAGTCTATTCTGAGCCATAGTCTTACTTCACATCACTTAAAATGCTATTTTCTGTTCCCTTTCAAAGCATTATAGTAACTTTTCATTTTTGTATCCTTTATGTGTTCACTTATGTTATTTTTAGTATATTGTATATCATAACTTTGGTAATAGTTAATAATTTCATCTTATCAATTAATAATGGTTTTCAAGAGATAAGACCGGAAACTACGAAAAAAATGATGTAGTTTATTAAAAAAGTCTCACTCTCTACTTTTTTTCCTTTGAAGCGCGAGAAGATTCAAAGTATCACGGCCAATATGTAACCAATTTTCTTTGTTTTTATAATAATATCAAGCCTAAAAACAAAATGCATCATTATTTTGCGAAGGTCTAAACTAACATTTATATTTATTACTTATTTAAGATCTAAAGTTTGGAACCTATAAACATTTTTGTTGGTTATATTTTGTAATTCAAATGTACTATTAAACTTTTACACTGACATTTCTTTTAAATAATTCCAACATCTTTAATTAATCATTAAATAACTCGCTTTAATTTAAACTAAAAATAAACAAATTATGAAAACTTTAAGCTTTCAGAGAAAATTTATCAAGTGAGATAAAACTTGAAAATAAATAACAATCTACTCTCTTATTAAAATTTTCTTCTACACATAAATAAAAATACATATACTCGCATGCAAATAATTATAAACAACTTCTTTAGAAAGAAATTACTAGAAATTATCTTTATCAGGGATCGTGAATGCTCATCAGTCAATCACGTTCTTTTCTTATTAATTTTTAACTCTGAAAAAAGACTGTTTACATATAAATTTATTCCCGAATAAAGCATTCTTAGTGCAAAAACTAGTAGCTCATACATTTTTTGACGAGTATGAATAAAAGTTAATAAAATCTTCACATTCAAATCTTGGAATAAGATTTATATCACACTCTAAATTAATAAGCTCCATGTGTAGTTTTCTGGTGTATTATTCATGTCTCCTTTTAATCGAAATGAAAATAATGTAAACTTGAACTTCAAATAGCTAAAATGAAATCTTTGCTACACCGTATTAGCAACAAATGCATATTTGTAATGTCTTTGCAGGCAGCATAAAACTGCTTCGGAGCCACCAGTCTGAGACCACTGAACAACATTTTAACTGATAAAAATTCATTATCAAATTAATCCAAGTAATGCATTCTGCAATATATAATTTTCGTTAAAAAGAGAACATTCCTTTTTATATCGCCTTTCTTTCTTTATATAAAATATTTTTTTAAATTTCACAGTAGTTGTCAAACTAATTCCTTCATCATCTTGATATAGCATTAAGGGAAAGCCACTCGCATTCTTTTTTCACGTAAAGCCATAACTTGAAATGGCCACATCCTAAACTACGAATATGGATTATTAATTTGCTTGCAACAAATGCACTTTATTAAGAAATGAATTCGGGAATGAGATTCAAGGTAAAATAGAAGGGTAAGATGGTAAATAATTTTCAAACTAAAGTGAAAACGTCATCATCATTCATTTGACAGTAGTTAAAAAGTATATTTTATAAACTAAAATCTAATGATTACAGACTTCATGTTTCCGCCTTCCAAAACTGTAAGACTCTTTCCTGTAGATGAAACACAGTCACATCTAATTAGTTTCTCACTTCCTAAAACCTGAGTATGCTAGGTCAGAAGTCATGGTGTTAAACTTTTCGATTTTGTCCAAATGAATGGTTATTTCAAACTGTTCACATCAGCTGCTACTACTACATAAGACAAAACTCCACTTTCGCCATTGAGAAAAGGCATAGCAAATATGAAATGAAATGATTAATGTGTAAGTTAGTAAATTATTAACTGGTCCTCTTGCTCTGATACTGTACAGGCCTTACAATAAAATATCTGATGATTCACTTTTCCAAATATCATTGTCATCTGACATCACATCTAAAATTTTAGAAGGTGAATGACTCTTCACCCTTTTCTCCTGAGAATACTAGAAATTACTTCCTGTGTGAATTCATATTTGTTTCTTTTCCTTATACCATTCGGCTGGCAAACATTTCACATAAATGCTCTGCTTTCATAAACCAGAGATAAAAAAAAGACTTCCACAGTAAAGCAGTTTTGTTGTATGCTTTTTTGTTTGACATGCAGTATTGAAAAATAATACAAAAAGAAGTATCAATGCATAGAATAAATACATCATTTATGCTTCATGTATTATAAGTAAACTAACCTCAATATTAGATACTGCCTCAAAATACAGCAAAGTACTATCTTGATCTCATATGGATATCAGTTTTATTCACTGCTGCATATACGTTCTGTTGTTTTGGAATATGTCAGAAATATTGACAAGGTAAAACACGAAGCACATGCATGATGTAGGTGTCGTATTTCCTGAATGTAGAGTGAGGTTTTGCAATAGGTCTTAATTTGTTTGAATAGTCACTGGTCGACGCGCCGAATTAATTTCCCCCTCCCTAATCGATCACCATTAATTAGAAGAAAAATGTAACTAATATGAAAGAAAAATTCTATATAGCTTTTCCCTCATTTCTTTTTGATACGTTTCCATTCCGGAACACCTACTTAAAGTCACATATTGTTTTTACATAGTATTTTAGCTATCAAGCAGTATTTTAAATAAATGGATAACCATAAAATCTGAAAAATATTTTATTCAAATATTTTTTTGTAAATGTTTCTAATTAGAAATACTAATGGGTATTATTTAAACTTATGCACTTCACACAGTTAATAACAGACATTATGACCCTATATAATTCAGAATTAAAACTATAATTTCGCGTTATCCCCATGTTTTGGGGAAGTACACGTAAATAATTTAATAAAGAAGTTTTTAATCTGCATTGTTCATTCTGCCTTTCTAAATTCGAAAAAATTATAAATTTAATAAACTAAAATGCAGATGAAAATTTAATGAGGATCAGTTATTCTTTATAATGAACAACAATCGTTAACAATAAGTGCATTCAGTTTGCCATTTGGTAACAGAAATTATATTACGATGTTATTCTTTTTAGTAATTACCGAAGTTTCTTTAACAGCAAATAAAAGAAAGAAAATTTTGATAGCCCAGAACAGTTTCAAAGAACTAGCTCCTCTTTAATGTTATCAAGTAATAGAGATCCGCTAAGGGAAAAAAAAAAAGATTATAATGGCGTGTTGAAGTTTCTTAAAGGAAAATTCGTCTCGGCACGATGTTATACAAACACACGATCCAAGGACGACAAATTGTTTCTGACAGCGCATTAAATTCAAACACAGTTAAGAGTCTTTCGAATATACATCCACCTTATACACACACACACACATACCATAAGGGGGGGAGAGCGAGAGAGAGAAGTAACAGACCGAGGGTTACTATGGGAACGACGATATTACTGACAGTTAGGAAAAGGAAGTCTTGTGACATTATTACTTCAGCTTCTTGAGATCTGCGGGAAAGTCAACGGGGGGAGGGGAGAGAAAAAACCACCAGCAAAGTAGTTGAGCCAAGTCAAAATTTATACATGAAACTGAGAACAGAAACAATGAAAACGTATCATATTATTTTTAATTCACTCTTGAGCACGAGTGATATAAATCTAAATTTACATCTTTTATGAAAAAGATAACACATCTAAGCATGAAAAAGATAAAACAATGATTCTACCCAGGAAATAAAAATACGTATCTTTGAATATTAACTCATTCTATAAATGACGTATGAAAA